TCACACTCAGCAGTGCACAGGGGTTTCTGCTGGCTCTGCACTCAGGAATTACCCCTGGCGATGCTTAGGGGACCATATGGGATGCTGGTAATCGAACCTGGGTCGGCCGTGTTCAAGGCGAAAGCCCTACCCGCAGTGCTATTGCTTCAGCCCCCGCCCTCTTTCCTTTGGAAATGAAACTGGAAGAGACAAATCACTCAAATGAAACTGTTTCTCAGGGCGGAGCTAGGCTGCAGGGCCACTTTCTGTGTTGATTGTTCACTGTTCTCTAATGCTAGGTGCATTTATTTAGTAAATGTCAGCTCATGCCACTTCGGGTACCATACGCCGGGAGGACAAGACTCCTATGGGACTACCATGGAAACACAGACCTGAAGCCACGAAGTACGGGGATGGGAGGGCGAGGTGGTGCAGCAGATGTTCAGGTGTGAGGGAGAGCTTTCCTTGATGGAAGGTGGCCAGGTGTGAGCCAGTGCAGGCGGCCAGAGCCATGGAAGGGGGCACGGTGGCCTTAACTTTGAGCAGCCGGATAGAATATCGAGTTTGGGTCTATTTGATTTCTGTATGTAATCAGAAGATCCGAACATTTCTTTCTTTGTTTCTAAACATTTTATTTTTTGTTTTGGACCATACCTGCTGAAACTCCTGGTCTACCTCTTCCCTCCCCTCCCCTGTCTTCTCTTCCTTTCCTTCTTTTCAGTTTTGGACTGATGCGCAGGAATTACTCCTGACAGTGCTTGTGGGAACATAATGTGGTGCCGGAGATTGAACTTGGGTTGGCTGCCTGCAAAGCAAGCACCCTCCCTGCTCCACTATCACTCCGGGCCCCCAAAATCCTAACATTACTTGCGTGTTTAAAATAAACTCGTGTGGGTAATGAGGTTTTTGGATTTGTTTTTTAAGACATAGCTAAAATGAGTAAGTTTATTTCGGTTTTCTGGATATGACTAATTTTCTGATGAGATAATGAATGGATTCTGCTAAGGTAATGTTTTGTATCAGTGCTGAAGTTTATGTTGGGGTTACTGAAATCGCTATTGCTACGCATTTTACTGTTTCCCATCATCTGTGGGCTGTTTAAAATCCGCATTCTGGAGTGTCAGACTTTTGGGCCACACCCAGCAGTGCTCAGGAACCTCCTCTTAGTGCCTGAAGGTCATTTTTTGCATTTCTTGAGGGACTCTGTGGTCCCTCATACTGAGTGTAGGACCTTTGGCCCATTCTTCTCAGCCATGCAACTTTTGTTTTTTTCCCTGAGACCCCAGGTGTGCTCTGGAGTTCTTCCCTAGCTTTGAGGCACTGTTTTGAATATCATCAGAGTGGGAACTGTGAGGCTTAAATGTTGAAACAATTTTGCGGGTTTTGTTTTCTGTTTTCCACTTTTCGGGTCATACCTGGCGGTGCCCAGGGGCTACTCCTGGTTTAGGCACTTAGGATTTACTCCCAGCCGTGCTCAGGGAACCATATGGATGCAGGGAAATCGAACCCTGGTCGGCTGCGGGTAAGGGCATTCACTCTAGCCCCCTGCCTTTTTTTTGCCATCAGGATTTAGAAACAAAAACATACTGACTTCAGGTTTATTTTTTTATGAGAGATCCATAACTGTTAATGTGTCAAGTGTTCACTGGAGTCCTGCTTCTCAGGGAATCTGGAGTGTGTGGGCTGTTGTTGGGCTCAAGGGGCATATGGGGTTCTGTTGGCTTCGGGAGGGGGGTGGGGGGGAAGAGCCGCGTTCGCGTTCGGTACCTCCTGACTAGGCCAGTGCTCTGCAGGGTGTTGGCATCCTGCCCTGGGGGCACCATGAGGATGCAGCTGTAAGGCTAGTGCTGATGCAATTCTTGCAGCCACCAAAGGGCTCCCTGGATTCAGTTTGTTTGGGAGCATAAGGAACTGTGTAGTCCTGGGCAGACAAGCTGAGGCTTTTGCCGGCCCTAGCCCAGCATCACATGGAAGGTAGTTTCCTGTGTCAGTCGCCTTTTCCCCTTGCCCCCAGCTATCTCTGGTCTGCTTTCTCTCTTGTTCCAGAGTTTATTTTGTATTATAATGGGGGGGGGGTTGGGTCATACCTGATGGCACTCAGGAATTACTCCTGACTTGTGCTCTGAGATCACCCAGGTGGTGTTTGGGGACCTACATACGGTGTTAGGGATTGAACCTGACTCAGGCCAACTGTGTGCAAGGCAAGTTCCATGTCTGCTGCAGGACATCTCCAGCTCTTAGTTTCAATAGCTGAAGTCGCAGAGTCTGGCCTCTGTACCCTAACAACACCCGTTGCTGCTCGGGCTCAAGGCTGGGTGCCAGGCCTGTGTCCTTCCTGCTGTGCTATTGCTCCGCCCCTGTTTCCTGGCTTCTTCCAGCGTACTTGGTTTTTGTTTGGGGCTACACTTACTCCACTCAGGACTTACTCCTGTCCCTTTTAAGTGATTATTTTGGCCTCACTCTGGCAACATCTGTGGTGCCAGAGACCAAATGGGGTTGGCTGTGTGCAAGGCAGATACCTGCTGTAGTATTACTCTGGTCCCCCTGTATGTGCCACTTTTAAGCTTCCCAGATGGTTCCAAATTATCTCTAGTTTTATATTTGTACTGCCAGATCCTCCTTTTTTTTTTTTTTGAAAGGTGGGATGTGGGGTATGGCACACCTGCAGTGCTCAGGCCTTATTTCTGTGTCTGTGCTCAGACATCACTCCTGGCAGTGATCGGGGATCACATGGGGTGTCAGGGATAGAAGCCAGGTTAGCTGTATGCAAGGCTAGTGCCCCATCCACTGTACTATCACTCTGGCCCCAGATCCTGCTATTCTTACCAATCTTGATCAGGACAGACTTGGATTTCGTTTGTTTTTGTTTTGGCTCTGTTTGAGGGGGTCTTACCGTAGTGGGAAGTGTGGGAAGCAAGCCTGTGCCTCCCCCCCAACCCCCCACCCTGACCGCATTGTCAGCTGCATACCTGTCTCAGGCCACCGTCCTGACCTCGGCTCTGGGCAGGAACATTCTAATAGATGCTTTTAATTTGTATTTAATCAGTTACAAGTAAAGAGCTACTTTTCTTGTGCTTATCTTCCATTTGTGTATCTTTGGTAAAATATGTTAACATCTTTTACCCATTTAAGAATAATTAAAAAAAAAAACATCGCTGAGGCTTGAATTCTTCACGTACCCTGGATACACATTCTTGCTGAGACCCAGGTTTGCAAGCACTTACCTTCATGTGGATGGTCTCATTCTCTGACGGTGCCTCTTGAATAGAAGTTCTGGGTTTTGAAGAAATCTGATTTATTGATTTGTTCTTTTGTGGATTGTGCTTTGGGGTGTTATATTAGAAATCTTGGCTTAACCAGGTTATAAAGATTTTTTTTCCCCCAAGTTTTCCAAGTTTAATGGTTTTAGATCGTTCCTTTAGATCCATAGACTGTCCTCGATAATTTTTGTTTATGGTGTTGATACATGAATCAAAGTAAAATTTTCTTTCTCTTTTTTGGGGAGGGCATGGGGCCACACGCAGCTGTGCTCAGGGCTGTTTCTTCTGGATCTATATTCAGGGGTTTCTCCTGGTGGACCCAGGGGACTCTGATATGCTGGGGATTGAACCTGGGTTGGATGTGTGCAAAGCAAAAGCTCTACCTGTATACTGTTCTGGCCCCAAAGTTAAATTTTTTTAAAATGGGTATTTAAATTATTCCAGCACTATTTGTTAAATCTGTTATCTTTTTAAAAATAACTTCTATCTCTCTCTACCCCTTTGTAAAAGTTATCTTTACATGTGCGCTTTCTCGTCTGTCTCTTGTTGATCTTCTCCCCCACCCCCCGCTTCTTGGGTCACACCTGGTGATGCACAAGGGTTACTTCTGGCTCATGCACTCAGGAATTACTCCCAGCGGTGCTCGGGGGACCATATGGGATGCCGGAAATCGAACCTGGGTTGGCCGTGTGCAAGGCAAACGCCCTACCCGCTGTGCTATCGCTCCAGCCCTTGTTGATCTCCTTCTGCCAGTATCGTGGGGATGAGCCTTTTTTTGGGTGAGGCCATGCCCTGGCTCTGCACTCAGGGATCACTCCTGGCAGTGCTCTGGACCACAGTCGGATGCTGGGGATAGAATCCGAGTCAGCCTTATGCACGGCAAATGTTCTGCCAAATTATCTGCAGTTTTATATTCGTACCGTTTTATTTTTCTTGAAAGGGGGGTTGTGGGGTTGGGCACACCTGCAGTGCTCAGGGCTGAGCTTTATTATCTCTCCGGTCCCCAACCCCCAGGAGTGATTCTTCAATGCATAGTCAGGAATAAGCCTAAGCATGTGGGTTCCCCCCCAAGAAAAAAAGAACGCCCTGATCTTAAACTTTATTATAAAGTGATAGAAGTCAAAATGGCATGCTAGTGACAGTGCCTAGGTTGAGCATATAAAGCTCAGAGATTGAGCGTGCTCCTTGTATGTGTGAGATCCCAGCATTCCAGACCATCTCTGGAACCCACCTTGAGCACTGCAGGGGCTGCGGGGAATGGGGGCATAATCGCTCCTGGCAGCCTCGGGTGACACTGTACTGGGATCCACCCTGGGTTGGCAGTGTGCAAGGCAAACACATTGCCTGCTGTGGTATTGCTCCGGCCCCATGATTTGGCTTTCTAGACTATTATTTGCTTTGTGTTTTTATGTAGATTTTTTTTGTGTTTTGGTTTTGGGCCTCACCTGGGCATACTCTTGGTGGTGCTTACAGAGCCCTGTGCAGTGCCAGGGGTCAGACGGGCGCAGCAGTGGGCCAGGCTAGCACCTTCCCCTCCCCACTATTGCTCTTGCCCCTGCATATGGATCTTAAAATTTCTCATTTTGTACCAGAAACGGTAGGGTTTTGGTTGGGATGACTGCGTTTATCGATCAGTTCTCTGTTTAGGTCTCAAGTTCCTCTCAGCACCCTTCTGTCCCTTTTGAATTGTTCTCTTTTTCTCTGTCGGATTCGCCATGATTCTAATAACAGTGTGGTCTTTCACACCTGCTCTCCCACCAGGTCTTATCCAATAAACATGTGGCTCCTGATCATCTTTTGCAAATCTGCCAGCGCATCGGTCCCATGTTGGATAAAGAAATTCCACCCAGTATTTCAAGAGTCACTTCTTTACTTGGTGCAGGAAGGCAGTCTTTGCTACGTACAGCAAAAGGTACCTTACTTTGAAGAAGTGTTCTTTTTTTTTTGGTATATCTAGCTTAGTAATTGCGATAAGTGTGAAGTAATGTAAGCATTGTGGAAAAAAAGCTGCTATGTAACGATGAACCGTGCTGTGGAATATAAAATTCTCTGCTTTTAGCATAGATGTTGAATTATATTACCTAAGTGTTCTGTGAGTCCTTCGTTTAACAATGCTAAAGGTATAGATGTTAAGTTAAAGAGCTTCAGTTTATTCTGAGATGTGTCTGAAGTTTTATCAGTGTGAGTTCTTGACTTTCCATCTTGTAGCTCACTCATAACTTCATTGCCTGTAATTGTATGTGTCTAATAACTCCTTAAATGCTAGAAGTATTTTCTTTAGATTCTGGAAAGCCCTTTGTTATAAGGACCAGTGATTTTTCTAAATTTGGTAGCAGTTTGAAAAGAAGTACCGAAAATGTCCAATTACGTGGCTTTTCTTTTTTTTGGCCAGTTAAATTCTGTTTGCTAAGTCATGTGGTAGCAAATTGTTTGGAATCGCTCTTTTTTTCCCGTCAGCTTGTAGACCCAGTGTATGTATATGACATGATCAATGCCTACAGTCTGACTTGACTGCCAGTGGGCAAGAATTCTTGTGGGCTCTTCTGATCCCGAACTCAAGTCAAGCTCATCTCCATGATTGTAAGATCTTTGCTGTCTCTTCGCTGAGCTTCCAGTGTCCAACTTGACTGAGCATCTCCCTCTCGGTTCCCTGCCAGCGCTAGTTATGTCTTGATGCGCATGGCTCCAGGAAATTGCTCTGGAGTTTTCTGGCCCCCCTTACCTTGTCATGCCTGTTTCAGTTTGCTCCTTCATTGCCTGGGTAGCCTGTCTCCTGTTTGCTCTGTGTGTGTCAGGCTCTCAGGGTCATTCTCTGATGAGCTCTGCTTTAGAACAGGCAGACCTAGGAGAGGCTTCAGCCGCTTTAGGAAGGGCCATGCTTCTCAGTTTGGCTCGCGACACGAGAGGGTGTTTGTCATTGCTCTCTGAGCATGACAGTGGCAGTGAGTCGAATCATGCAAACCATAAGGTGCCTCGTAGTCGGATGCCCGCGGCTCAGTAGCGCTGGTTGGTGCCTTCCTTCCCTTCCTCTTTTCCTCGGGGGAGACTCCCTTCTAGCTCAGTTGGACCCAGAGACTGCTGCCTTCTCCTGAGAAGGGGACAGATTCCTTTCTCTTAGCCTGTTGCTGGGAGATCTAAGAGGCTTGGCACTGTCGAATGCGCTCAGCCTCACAGACCTCACACTTGTGCTCTTGTGTAGAGAATGATGGATTCTCAAACAAGAGGAAAACCATTTCAGATTGTCAGTACTTCCTAAGGAGAGGAAAGTCATGATAATTTTGGCCAAAAAGAATTTTAAAAGTTAATATTTAAGTCAAGAATTTTTATAAATTTTACGTTACAAAAATTCTCAGTTCGGGGATGTTGAATCACTTGTATGATTACTATTGTATGATATCATTCTGCATTGGAAAATAAAAGCATATTGGCATTGAATGGGATTTGGAGCGGAAGACTTGGTTTCTGGTCCATTTTTACTTCTCAGTCATAGTGGATCTTTTAGAAGGTCCTGGAATCTTTGCGCCTCAGTTACCTCGCTTGTAAAGTGGCGTCGACACCTACCTCACAGGGTTGTTGTGAGGGTTCGCGAGACATTGTATGTCGAAAGCACTTTGTAAATTGTAAAGTGCTACACGAATGTTAGTTGTTGTTGTATCTGAGATGTTTTAATATTTTCCTTCAGACATAGTCTAATAAACCTTGAGGGCTTTTCTCTGGAAGTACAATAGTTGGTAAACTTTGAATAAACAGTTTATTGTATTGTACGTAAGTATTCTATAAAATCTTTCTGGGGCTAACTTTCAAGATTTTATGTGTATCTAAAATTCATTTTAAAGACTGCAGGCACACAGTGTGGAAGGGCTCTGCCTTTGCTGCTCTTCACAGAGGAAGACCCCCCGAAATGCCGGTGAATTATGGTTCCCCACCCAGCCTTGGTGAGTGAGGCCGGCTTTCCTGTGCCGGCAACTTCTCTCTCCATCTCTTCCCGTTGACTACCACATTTGTTTAAAAGAAAACATGGGTCGTGTTTTTAAATGATACCAGCTATACAGTAGTACAATTACTAGTAATTGCTAACAGTGAGAAGTGGGGTTGCTGTAATAAGCATTCAGTCAAATAGAATTGGGAAGAAACTTTGAAAACCTTTGTGTTTATTGATTGATTTATTTTTTCTTCTTTCCATACTGGCTCCACTTACCCTTTTCTGCTGTTTTTATTTCCTAGTGGAGATCCATCGAGGGAAACAGCTCACAGGGTGTTCCACTTTTAGCACAGCGTTTCCAGGAACTATGTATCAGCACATAAAAATGCACAGAAGGATTCTCGGTCACCTGTCTGCTGTTTACTGTGTAGCATTTGATAGGACAGGACATAGAATCTTTACAGTGAGTTCTGTTCTCAAACGTGTTCATCCTGAGGACATGCCAGTGAGCAGTCATTGGGCAGGTCAAACCACATGAATTCCATGCTTCCCATTTGCAGGTTTTTTTTTTTTTTAATTTTTGGTGTTTGGGCCACGTCTAGCGGTGCTCAGGTTATTCCTGGCTTTGCACGTAGAAATTACTCCTGGCGGTGCCCAGGGACCATATAGGGTGCTGGGGATCGGACCGAGTTCAGCCACGTGTAGGGCAAGTGCCCTACCAGCTGTACCATGTCTCTGGCTCAGTTTGTTTGTTTTTTAGGTCACACCTGGCAGTGCTCCAGGTGAGGTTCAGGATTCTCTATATGATGCCGGGGATTGAACCTAGGTCAGGCACATGCAAGGCAATTACATGGTGTCTTTAAAATTTTTAAAAAAAAAAAAAGAAAAAATTTTTTTTGGGGGGTGGGACGGATGAATGATACCGAAAAATTTTTAAAAATGTAATTATGTGTATGTTTGGAGTTTAATTTACCATTTTGCTGTTTTGGAGAAGTATTAGGATTGGGTGAGTTTACATTTTATTTTGTAGTTGTGAGATTCAGAGTAGATACTCAAATATTGGATGGGTGGATGCTGGTTGGTACAAATGATCTTGATTATTTAAAAAGATCTCAGTATTTTTTTTATATATATATTTTGGGGATTGCTACTCTTGTGCATTTCAACCTGGGAGACCTTGATCTGTCTTGGATTGATGTATTTAAGTTGAAACTTGCTAATGCAAATTGAAGTAGTAGACTCGTAGCCATGAATGAATATTTGGTAGAGAATTTTTTGAAATATGTTAGAGTGGCATCTTATCTGTGTTATGAGGAATCTAATAAAGTGTCTTGATAGCACTGTTAGATCATTTGAGCATACATTACAAAAGATTCATAATTTACTGAGTATTCTACAGTTAGTGTTTCAGATACTTAATTTTATTGATTTATTTGTTTTAGATGATTGACGAGATCTACACTTTTGGTCATGTGTTTTAGGGTTCGGATGACTGTTTGGTGAAGATTTGGTCAACGCACAATGGCCGCCTGCTATCTACGTTACGAGGTCATTCTGCTGAAATTTCAGACATGGCGGTCAACTATGAGAACACGATGATTGCTGCAGGGAGCTGTGATAAAATCATTCGCGTGTGGTGCTTAAGGACGTGTGCCCCCGTGGCTGTGCTCCAGGGCCACACAGGCTCCATCACGTCTCTCCAGGTGAGCCAGCTGCAACACACACTTCTGGGGTCCTTTCCTCTAAGACCTTGGAGATGACAAGTAGTGAGTCGCTTAGAAATTTGACACCGAAACAAAGCTGCCTTCCAGTGATGCCTTCCTGTGGAAGGACCCTTCGAGAGGGTAATGGGGTGTGACTCCCAGAACTCAGTGGGGAAGGCACGGAAGCCTCTCCTCACAGAGCGTTTGACGGGCGTCTGCAGCACAGGACACTGCAGCGATTCTGTGGGAAGGTCTTCCTCTGGCAGGCGCCCACTGTGTTGGCGAGACTTTCCGCTACTGCCTCTCTAATCCCCTGCCGTCCCTTGGCATGAGGCCTCAAGCCCAGCCTGACCATTTGAGCTTCTTCATTGAGATTGTGAGAGAACGACATTTTTTTTTTCTTTTGCTGTTGTTTTATAGGCTACACCTGGCTGTGCTCAGGGCTTACTCGTGGCGAGACTCTGAGGACCGTGAGGTGCTGGGGCTCCGAGCTAGCTGTGTGCACGGAAAGTGCCCTGCCCTCTGTACTATCATTCTGGCCCCAGGAGGGTATTTTAAATGATTCTTACATAGGATCTTTGAAAATTTAGATGAAACAAATACTTAGAAAAATAGCTGACCAATATTGGTGCCAAAAGAAACAACGTCTATCTAGATACGGATCTTGGTGTTGTACATGGCATCAGTTGTTGAAATTTGTCCTTCAATTGTTTCTGTTGAAAATGTTTTCCCAAATCTTAGGAAGGAAGGAAGGAAGGAAGGAAGTAGACATGTTGAGTGTGAGACTTTAGTCCTCAAAGCTTTAGTTTCAAGAAGGGGGTTAAAAAGAAAGATGGTAAGACCAATATTTGTGCAGTGTGAAGTTTGGTTTGCAACCTACCTTCCAGAGAGGAACTCTGGGAAGGACCTGTGAGAGATGGGGCTCATTCATTGTAGTTGTCTCCACGTGATGGGATTGTCCGCACGGTCACACAGTCAGAACGGTCTGTGCGTTCTTGTATGTAGGCTAGCACTGCTATTGGGGGTTATGCTCCGTCATGCCCTGGTGTTGTGTTTGCAGTTTGGATGACTGATGTCTGCTGGTCTCTGTTGGGGCAGGTAGGGCAGAGTAGGGTGTTTGTTTTCCTTTTTCTTTTTTTGTTTCGAGGGCCACATCTGGCAGTACTTCGGGCTTACTCTTGCCTCTGGGTTCAGGGATCACTCCTGCATGCTTGAGCGACCGTCTGTGGTGCTGGGGATTGCATCTGGGCCGACTGTGTACAGGACGAACACCTTCCCCACCTCACTGCCCTATGTCTTGTTGTTGACCCTTTGTGAATATTCCTGGACTCCTTTCACCACAGAGTGTATTCTATAGGGGATCTTTGTCCGCAGTATTTGCTGAGAACCACCTTTGCCTCTTTAATCGGCTTTTATTGATTCCAGGTGTTCTACCCATTTTCAGCATTTTGGGGGCCAGAGAGATCATACAGCGGGTAGCACACTTGCCTTGCACGGGGCTGACCTGGGTTTGATCTCTGGCATCCCATAGGGTTCCCTGGGCACGCCAGTAGTATTTCCTGAGTGCAGAGCCACGGGTGGCCACAGACAAAACAAAAGATAGTGAGGGGAGGGTGGGGAGATAGTACCTGGGTGAGGCCCTTGCCTTGCACAGGCCTCAGGAGTAACTCTGAGAACCACTGGGTGTGGTCCCGAAATAAAATCAAGAAACTCAGAACAGCAGGAAAAAGTGGTGAGGGGAGAGGAAGAGGAAGTTCATGTTCAGGAGCTTCTCAAGAGTGGATACAGCAAACAGAGGCATAGACAGGCTGGCGAGATAGATGTTCTAGGGAGGACGGGTGATTCGTAAGCCGCTGACATCTGGGGCTCCACTTGGTGTGTGGGAGCTAGTCGGTTTCTCCCACCCGCCGTGCCGCCTTGCAGCTCCATTGGGTGGAGACCGGCTCTCTCTTGTGCCATGCGTCTCACTGTCTCCTGGCCAGTATGCTGACCGCGCAGCTCTTGAGGCTCTTAGTAGCACTTGGCTTTCACTCCTCATAAGGGGTTTTCTGGCTTATTTTTATGAGTTTTGAAAATGATCTCTAATCAGTGTCCGAGATAAAAGCTCCCTTTTTTGTATGTGTTTCTGGGCCACACTCGGTGGTACCCAGGGTTTACTTTCGCTTTGTCATCAGGGATCACTCCTGGCAGGTTTGGGACCTTAGGGGATGCGGGGAATTGGACCCTGGTTGGCTGCCTGCAAGGCAAGCGCCGTGCCTGCTGTACTGTGGCGCCCTTCTTGCAGATTCACTTCCTGGGGCCGCAGCTCAATAGTGCAGCGAGTACGGCATTTTTGCCTAATACATAGGTTTGTTTGCTTCTGGCTTTTTGGGACACATTTGTGGCAGTGCTCAGGGGTTACTCCTGGCTCTGCACTCAGGAATTAACTCCTGTGGGTGCTTGGGATGCTGGGTATTGAACCTGGGTCAGCTGTGTGTAAGGCAAACATCCTCCCCGCTGTACTGTTGGCTCTGGCCCCTTATACAGGTTTAATCCAGGTGGATTTAATCTTCAGCATCCTGTATGGTTCCCTGAGCACAGCAGGCATGATTCCTGAGCACCATCGAGCACCCCCACAAAAAATACCACAGTTTATGGTCTTGCGTTTTATTTAGAGTATCACTTGTAGTTAACTTGAGGAATTATCCCACTGTTCTGCTGCGGCAGCTCAGGAGGTTGAACTTGTATTGTCTGTTTTCCAGTTCAGCCCTATGGCCAAAGGGCCCCAAAGATACATGGTCTCCACTGGTGCTGATGGGACCGTGTGTTTCTGGCAGTGGGATCTGGAGTCCCTCAAGTTCAGGTAAGTGGCTTTCATTGTGTTGCTTTTACTTCATGTCATTGGGATAAAATGAAATCTAATGATGAGAAATTTAGTATTTCTGAATTTCATCTCGAGGCTGTGCAGCATAGATGCCTTACTGCCTGCCTTTTACAGCTTAAGTAGATTGTTGGATATGTAAAACAGGCAAACCCTTTCTGTTTTGGGGGCACTGCCCACCCAGCTGTGTTTAGGCTTAGGGCTTCCTTCTGGCTCTGTGTTCAGGAATCATTCTTGCTGGGACTTGGGGACCACATGGGGTGCTGGGAATTGAACCTTCTTTGACCAGCTGCAAGGCCAGCACCTTACCTTACTGGCTGTGTGTATCTCTCTGGCTCCTACAAAGCTTTTTTTTTTTTTTTTTTGCTTTTTGGGGTCACACCCGGCAATGCTCAGGGGTTACTCTTGGCTCATGCACTCAGGAATTACTCCTGGCAGTGCTCGGGGGACCATATGGGATGCTGGGAATCGAACCTGGGTCGGCCATGTTGGCTGCGAGCAAGGCAAACGTCCTACCCACTGTGCTATCGCTCCAGCCCCTCCTATGAAGCTTTTTAGTGGACGCCATGTGACTGTGTGGGTGGGTGTGGTTTCTTTGGGCCACGCTCACTGGTCCTCAGGACTTATTCCTGGCACTGTTCGTGGACCATAGCTGGTGTGCTGTGGATCATACGGGGTGCTAGGAGTCAAGCCAGGGGTGGTCGCATGTAAGGTGTGCGGCTAGAGGCCTGACATTCAAGCCAGGGACAGCCGTGTTTGAAGCAGGTGTCCTACCTGCTGTACCATCTCTCATGCCCCTACGCTTGGGAGGTTTTTAAAGATTTGTTTCTTTGTGATTGGTTTTGTATCTCGCCTGCATGGCAAAGCCTGGCAAGCTACCCGTGACATATTTGATATGCCAAACACAGTAACAACAAGTCTCACAATGGAGACGTTACTGGGCCCGCTCGAGCAAATTGATGAACAACAGGAGGACAGTGCATTGCAGTGCAGTGATTGGTTTCAGGTTCTTGGGACCTACTCCCTGGCCTGTCCTTGGCGGTATGTCATGGGTCACTTCCTGTGGTTCCAAGGGAACCATGTGTACCTGGGATCCGATTTATGATGCTTTTAAGTGTTCAGCCCATTATGATCTCTTTCTGGCCCCTTCAGGATTTAATATAAAAGAATTTAAAATTCAGAACTTTTGAATTATATTTGGTTAGGTTTAAGTGAAATACAATTTTCTTAAACTGAAAATTGACACACGTGCTCTTTGTCATTTTGTTGAGTTTCTGTGGAACAGGAGTCAGACCTCGTGGTTCTGGCCGTGATCTGCAGAGTGGATGCTGGCTCTCTTTGACTAGTGTTTCCCAAAGTTGAGACCCTGGGATGATCCTTAGGATAGTAGTGAAGTAATTCCAGAAGGTACATTTCCCAGCGAGTCTCGAGTGATTTTTTTTTTTTTTCTGAAAGGGAATGGTAGACCCAGATAAGTCTGCGATCTCTGACAAGACTGAAAAAGTCACCAATTTAATAGGTCTATTCTTTCTCTGCAGTAGCCTGCTATGGAGAGAAAATTTATTGTTTGTTTTATTTGGGGTCCCATCCAGGAATGCGCAGGGATTACGCCTGCTCTGCACTCAGGAATCACTCCTGGCAGTTCTTGGGGGACCATATGGGATGCCGGGGATTGAACCTGGGAACTGCCCATGGATAAGGCAAAATGCCCTATCAGCTGTCCTATTGTTCTTGCCCTGAAGATGGAATTTAGACCTTTATTTTTAATAGTGCATCCATCTGTACCGTAGTGTACCTGGAAGTCTTTGGTGTGCTATGTGGTAGTAGGGAAAAATTAAAAGAAAAATAAAAATTTTATATTGTTAATCTATTCAACTAATGTATATTAAAATAACATCTTTCCTTTTCTCAAAGCCCACGTCCCCTGAAGTTCACTGAAAAGCCCAGACCAGGTGTTCAGATGCTTTGCTCTTCTTTCAGTGTTGGTAAGATAATTTGTTTTTCCCTCTGTAGTTTTAGCTTACTGAATGATGACATTGTGAGATGTTTTTTCAGTTAGATGGTCAATAGTTTACTCTGATAAGTTCATTAAATCAGCTCTGTGGCCCTTTGTTTCTTTTATTCTCATTGTCTGTGATTTGTAATAATGGAACAGAATAGCTGTGTCCTCTTAGCACACATCATCCTTACAGTTGCAACCTGGCGGTGGGTGGAGTTTGTTCCCATCAGCCATACCTGTGTCTGTGCATCATATGTTTGATGTGACAAGCTAAATTGCATTTTTGGGAGGTTAATTTGGTTTTTGGTTAACTGCTGGCAATACTGAGGGTTAATTATTCCTGACGAGGCCCAGTAGTTACTCTGGTGGTGCTTTGGGGAACATAGGGGATGCTGAGGATCAAAATCAGGACACTGTGTACAAGGGAGGCGCCCAGCCTACTGTACTACTACTCGTGCCCTGTGTGGTTTTTTTGTTGTTGTTTAAATGTTTTATTTACGTTTTTGGGGTAAAAGTACATATCCTAGTTTCCTGAAAGAAATTTCTGTGGTAGCTTTTCCTTTAAGGAAAGGACAAAGGCGTTTCCACTATAGAAGTCTTTTGAAAACTGAAACAACCTTGTAGTTCACAGCTAGGTTTAGGTATCTAGAAGTTTGGGGTCACCCCAGGTAGTGCTCACTTTGCGGACCATTTGAGGTGCTGCTGGTAATCTGACCTGGGTTGGCTGGGTGCAAAGCAAAAGCCCTACACAATGGAGTATCACATTGTAGGGTTCTTTCTTTTTTCTTTTCTTTTTATGGTTTTGTGTTTGGGCCACACCTGGCAATGCTCAGGAATTACTCCTGGCTTGGCTGTGCACTCAGGAATTATTCGCGAGTGAAGCTGGCGGCATGCTGGGGATCAAACCTGGCAGGTCGACTTTGTGCAGAGCAAGGGCCCTTCCCACTTAGATAGCACTGAAGGTCCTTGCTCTAGTCAAGGAAGCGGAGGGAGGGAGGGAGGGAGGGAAGAGCAGAGCAGAGCTTCGGGGTCAAGTTGAGCCTTTGAAGCCCCAGCCGATCCTTTTGCTAGAGGACAGCAGCGCAGCACTTGATCTTCCTTCAGGTCCCTTGGATTCCGACCCTCTCGAGGGAGCGGGCTGGATCCCCCAGCCTGAGGGCTCTGTTTTAGAAGGACCTTCCCTGCCAGCTGATGGACTAGATTTCCCCCATGTAAGAGGATGTCATTGAAAAGCCAGATGGAAGGAGCCATATAAGTCATGGGAAGGGGGTTCCCGGTAGCAGCGGGGCCGCAGGCAGGAAGACGGTCAGAGCTGGACGAGGTGGGGAAGCCCTGATGCGGGTGTGTCCCCTTCTCTCTGCGCATGCTCTCCAGCCTGGGGAAACCCTCAGCTCTGTCCCCACGGGCATGGCCTGATTGAAGGAAAATTGTGATCATTGGTAACTGATGTCATTCTGACCTCTCCCCTTGGAGATAAGGGGATGAAACCCAGAATTTCCAGAACCCTCTAAACAAAGCTGGTTGCTTCCCTTACTCGCAGCGCCCCTCCCTCCCTCGAAATTCTTTTGAGTAGTTTTCACAAATCACCTCATTGTCTAGAACCTGCTGCAGCTGGATGGTTTAATGATTGTCAAGATCGCTGTATTCTTCTCGCTTAGGAAATCCCAAGGGTTTTAGATTGTGTTAGAAACGAGGACAAAGACCAAATAGCTCTTTCTTCCCCTTTTTTTCAGGGGGTGGGGGCTGCTGTTGATTCTGTGCTCAGAAGTTGCTCCTGACAGTGTTCAGGGTAATGGGGAACTGGGACCTGATGTTTGCAGACAGGTGTCTTAACCCCTCTACTCTCTTTCCAGCCCGGGTGTACCTTTTTTTTTGGGGGGGGGGGCATGCCCAAACATTGTCATGGCTTACTCCGGGTTCTGTGCTCGGGGATCACGCCTTATGATTCTTGGCCGGGGGCAAACAAGCTCCTTACCTGCTGTACTCTGTATCCTTAGAACCTAAAAATCTGTTTCTGAAGGGGAGTCAGAGACAGGGTCTTAGGGGATGCTCTTCATTTTGAGTAGAGCTCTTGTTTACTAGGATAGTCTCTCTCCCACATACTTGTTAATGACTGGAATGTTTACCTTTTAACTTTTTCCCCCCCAGGTGGTATGTTTTTAGCTACAGGGAGTACTGATCACGTAATCAGGATGTATTTTTTGGGTTTTGAAGCACCTGAAAAAGTTGCAGAACTTGAAAGCCACACTGTAAGTACTTGTGGTTTTTTTTTTTTTGCTTTTGCTTTTGTTTTTTAGTTTTTTTATTTGGCCTTTTAGGTCACACCTGGTGATAATCAGAAATTACTTCTGACAGTGCTGGGGGGACCATGTGGGATGCCAGCAATGTCTTACTCTCTCTACTATTATTCTGGCTCCAAGTTCTTGTTTTTTTAAGGTGATAATTCATTGTTAGTACTACTATTATAGTACAGAGTAAACTGGTAACTTGGGGAATTACTGATTTTAAAAATGTAGAAAGAACTATATTCTAAAGCTGAAAGATAACATTGACATTTCAAAAAGTACCTTTGCAGTGCTAACCCCTTACTTTCTAGTGGTTGTTCAGCTTCAAGTCCAAAATTTGTTCGGTTTTAGACCCCACTGGTGATGCTTGGGACCTCCAGGGCTTTACCAGTGATCTCCAGGGGTACCATGTGGTACAGGACTGTACCCCAACCTTGTATTTTATCTCTTTGGCTCCAAAATACTTTTTTGGGGGGGGGGTGGCTCCGGGCATGGTGGTGCACAGGGTTTTTTTTTTTTTTTTTTTTTTGCTTTTTGGGTCACACCTGGCGATGCTCAGGGGTTACTCTGGCTCTGCACTCAGGAATCACTCCTGGTGGTGCTTGGGGGACTATATGGGATGCTGGGAATCAAACCTGGGTTGGCTGTGTGCAAGGCAAACACCCTACCTGCTGTGCTACCGCTTCAGCCCAGGGCTTATTCTTGAGCCTAGTAATGATCCCTGACAATGTTCAGTGGATTGCAGGTGGTAACGGATTTGAACCAGGGTCAGCCACATGCAAGGCCTTACCTCCTATTCTGTCTCACTCTGGCCTCAGAATGCTTATTTTTTTGCTCTGTGGCCCTTACCTGGAGGTGTTCAGAGTATAGTCCTGTCCTTGCTCTGTGCTTATGGATCACTCCTGGCAGGTCTTGGGGACCTTATGTGGTGCTGGGATAAGATCCTGGTCAGCTATGTGCGAGGCAAGTACCCTCTGCTTGCTATACTATATCTCCTGCCCCAGAATGCCATTTTTTTTTCCAGTGTGTTTGGGTCACACCCATCGATGTTCAGGGGTTGCCTTGGTCCCGCATTCAGTGATTACTCCCGGCGTTGCTGGTGGACCCATATGGGATGCCATGGGTCGGATCTGGGTGGGCTGCACAAGTGCAATTGTCCTACCCTCTGTACTCTCTCTGACTTATGAGGTTTTTTAAAAATTTTTTTAATTTTTATTTTTGGGTCACACCCGGCGATTCTCAGGGGTTACTCCCGGCTCTGCGCTCAGGAATTACTCCTGGTGGTGCTCGGGGGACCATCTGGGATGCTGGGAATCGAACCCGGGTCTGCTGTGTGCAAGGCAAACACCCTACCCGCCTTACTATCCATCCTGCTCCTTGTACCTGTTCTTGAACTTGATGTTCGCTTGTTGCTGGGGCCTAGTGTTTGAAAATAGGGTCTGGAGAGATGTTATGGCTTTTTTTCTAAGCTGTTGACCCTCTGAGCACTGCTGGATGTGGTCCGTCCCTAAATGCAGAACAAAAATAATGAGCAGGTTCTCAGAAGACGGTAGTCTTTGTTGACGATAGTCTTGTCCAAAGGCATAGCCACGGAGTGGGCATGAGGTGATAAACTGACAAAAGCCATGGGTTTTGATGATTTTGGGTGATTTCCTTCTGCCCTGGGTAGTGCTTGCACTTGATCCCAGCCTCCAGGGCTTGGTGGGAGGCATACTCTGGCCAGTGTCCTGCCTGTGCTGCCAGCATACCACCTTCCTGCCTTCATGGCAGTGCCCTTTTGGACACCGACTACTTTGTCCTGTAGCAGAAAGGAAGGGTCTACACTAAGATGATTGTTTTATTTTAAATTTTTAAAAATGTTTGGGCCACAGTTGGCGGTTCTTGGGGCTTTGTCCTGGCTCTGTGCTTAGACATCACTGCTGGCAGGCTTGGGGACCCTCTGGGGTGCTGTGGATTGAGCCTGGATCATTTCGTATCAGGGCAGACGCCCTGCACGTTGTAGGACAGGGATTTGCTTTAAGCCTTAAAGCTTGAGTGGGTTCTTTCGTCAGTCACAGACTAGAGTTGATGACTGTTTCTGTCCTTTTTTCTTTTTTCTTCTTTAGGATAAAGTTGATAGTATTCAATTTTGTAACAATGGTGATCGGTAAGTTAAGCGTGTGTGTGTGTGTGTGTGTGTGTGTATAGCACTGTAGCACTGTCCTCGTTGTTAATCAGTTTGCTCCAGTGGGCACCAGTAACATCTCCATTGTGAGACTTGTTACTGTTTTTGGCATATTGAATACACCACAGGGAGCTTGCCAGGCTCTGCTGTGCGGGCAGGTTACTCTCGGTAGCTTGCCAGGCTCTCCGAGAGGAATGGAGGAATTGAACCTGGGTCAGCCACGTGCAAGGCAAATGCCCTACCTGCTGTACTATCGTTCCAGCCCCTGTGTGTGTGTATTTTTTTTTTTTTTTAAGTTTTTGGTTCACTCCTGGCTGTGCTTGGGGACCATATCGGTTGCTGGGAATCAAACCCAAGTGAGCCATGTGCAAGGGAAGTGCCTCCTTGTACTATTGCTGAGGACTTTTTTTTTTTTACTTTTTTTACTTTTTTACTTTTTTACTTTTTTTAAAAAAATTTTTTAAGGAAATGTATGTGAATTTATCTTGTGTTTTATTACTGACCCACACTTGTGGCGGTGCTTTTGAGGGCTGCTCCCAACTCTGGGCTCAGGGGTTGCTCCCAGCTGTGATTTGGGGCCAGGTGTCAAACCTGGGTCTCTTGAGTGCAGATGTCTTCAGCCCTTTGAGCTTTCTCTTCAGCTGTGTGTTTTCGGCAGATGCTCTCTGCCGTACGTTAACACGGTTCTGTACACACGCTGTGTTTTAGGTGTGTGCTAGTAAGCACATTCATCGAATGGGAGTTGCCTGTAGCAGGGCGAACAGAAAAAGACCGCTTTAGAACTGTGTCTTGTGACCCAAAGAATAAAAGCTTCTCCTTTAGCTCAACTTCGGTTAAATGTTCTGGACAGAAAAAGGATATTGAAGGAAGTTGTCCCATATGCTAGAGTAGACCTTTTTTTTTTTCTCTCCTTTTTGGTTCACATCCAGCGATGCTCGGGGGTTCCTCCTGGCTCTGCACTCTGGAATTACCCTGTTGGCGCTTGGGGGACCATATGGAACGCTGGGGATCAAACCTGGGAGGGCTGCGTGCAAGGCAACGCCCTCCCCGACGTCCCATGGCTCCAACCCTGCTAGAGTAGTACTAAACCTTTGCTCATCATTTGATATATTCTGGGGGGGAAAAAATACACCTCTCAAGAGGGGAGATGCTGTGCTCGCCATGTGGGCACATGCAGCACATGGGCTTGGTAGCACATATGCTGCTACATATATATCACAGGGTTGGGTTATTTTTATTTTTATTTTTTGCTTTTTGGGGTCACACATTGGCTCAGGGGTTACTCCTGGTTGGCCGCGTCCAGGGCAAACGCCCTACCTGCTATGCTGTCGCTCCAGCCCCATATCACAGTGTTTTTGCTTGTGATTTTAATACAAATGTCACGGAGGCATATAAGTCTAAGGTCTCTCTTCTGAAAATTTTAAGGTTCTTAAGTGGTAGCAGAGATGGAACGGCACGGATTTGGAGATTTGAGCAGCTAGAATGGAGAAGCATTTTGTTGGATATGGCCACCAAAATCTCAGGGTAAGTTGTAACAGCTCGATTTTACTAGATATGGCATGCATTAGGCTTTTCTGTCTTGCTCTTGTGGTTTGCTTTGTTAGGGGATTGGATCAGCACTTAAAATGACAGGCTACTTGTAAGTAAAAAAACTATTTTCTCTTTTAACTCAGATATGTCAAGTATGCAAATTTTACTTTTTAGTGGATAGGAACTTAAACGGTTGCCTGTAACCAAGTCTGGTGAGTAGAGTATGCAAAATATTTAAGAAATTGACTTTTAGTGGGGAGTGAGGTTTTTAAAATTTTTTTTAATACATCAGTTAAATTACAATGATAATTATTGATTTTTTTTTTTTTTTTGCTTTTTGGGTCACACCTGGCGATGCACAGGAGTTCCTCCTGGCTCTGCACTCAGGAATTACCCCTGGTGGTGCTCAGGGGACCATATGGGATGCTGGGAATTGAATCCGAGTCGGCTGCCTGCAAGGCAAATGCCCGACCCGCTGTGCTATTGCTCCAGCCCCTATGTACCATAGCTTTTTTATTCACTCATCTGTTTGTGAACATTTGGTTTATCTCTATATTTTATCTGTTGTATACAGTGCTGCAAGGTACAGAAGAGTGCATATGTCTTTTCAGCATTATGCTTTTGGGCCCTTGGGATACATTCCCAGGAGTGGAATTGCTGGATCATATGGAAACTCAACTCCCAGGTTTTTGAGGAAGATTCATATTTCCCCAAAATGCTGTACCTGTCCACATTCCCACCAGTGGTGAAAGAGAGTTCATTTTTTTCACCGGTCATTGCCAGCATTGTGTGGTGGTGATTCTTTTTGATGAGGGTCAGTCTCTCTGGTATGAGGTGATACCTCGTTTTGATTTGCAATTTGTTGATTGATAACTTCTATAGAGTTTTTTTTTTTTAAAATATATTCACTGTGGATTTACAGTTATTTATAACTTGGTTTCAGACATACTATTTCAACGAGGATCCCTTCAGCGGTATCCACTTACTTGCAGCACACCCCCGTTGCCTCCCTCCCACCAGTCTCCTTCTGTCAGAGGCACCTCCCCTCCACACACACACACTCACACACACGCGCGCGCATACCTATGTGTGTATTTATAACATGTATATCGTCTATTTCTTGCATTGTGGTTTACAATACTGTTGCTGATAGGGTTTCATGCGTGACCTCTTACCACCTTTCAGTACCACTTCCTCCTCCCGGTTGAATGCTTCCCGCCACCATACGGGTGCCCTTGTGCCCGCCACCATCGGGGTGTCCTTGCTTCCTGCCCCCTCGAGTGGCCTGTTTCCCACTGAATGCCAGTTCTCCTGGTTTTTGTGTGTTTCCATGGTCTTTGGGCATTCATCATTCTCCTGTTATGTTTCCTCATATTCCGCATATGAGGCCTTCTGTGTTGGTCTTGCCCTCTGACTAACTTACCTCTCAGGGTGCTGCTCTCCGGGTCCCTCAACATAGCAGCACGTTGTTGCCTCACTTTGTCTATTTTATGGCCCAGTGATTCTTCATCGTGTAGATCTACCATCGTTTCTTCATCCAGTCATCTGTTCTTGGACACTTGGGTTGTTTCCGGGTTTTCACTATTGTACATAATACTCTATGGAACATGGGGGGGGGGGGGTGTAAATGCCTTTAATCCATTTTGTTTCTAGGCCTTTGGGGTATATTCCAAGAACTGGTGTTGCTGGGTCAAATGGAAGCTCAATTCCTAATTTTTCAGGAAAGTCCACATTGTTTTCCAGAAAGGCTGGACCTGTCGGCATTCCCATCAGCAGTGAATGCAAGTCCCTTTCTCCCCATATCCACACCAGCACTGGGGGTGGTGGTTCTTTTTTGATGCATGCCAGTCTTTGTGGTGTGAGGTGATATACCTCTTTAGCGTTTTAAGTTTTCCTGCTGATTAGTGAGACAGAGCATTTGTCTCATAGATTTTTTTGTTAATTTGTATTTCTTTGAGTACCTGTTGTTCATTTCACCCTCCCCCCCCACTTTTTGTTTCCTTTTTGTGCCTCACCAGGCAGTGCTCAGGACTTACTCCTGGCTCTGAGGGATCCCTCCTTATGGTGCTGGGGTACCATGTAGGATGCTGGGGATTGAACCCTGGACAGCTGTGTGTAAGGCAAACACACTACCTGCTGTATTATATCTTGTAGGCCCCATATGCTTCCCTTGTTTTTTTTTAATCTTACTGTTATTCTTGCATCTTGCAGAGTTCTTTCAGTGCTTTATATTTCTTGAATGTTATCCCTTTGTGGGCAAGTCATTCTTCATCGTGTAAATATACCATCGTTTATAAATGATGGGCAAATAATTTCTCCCAGTTTGTGGGGAGTCTTTGTGTTTTGGGCTTTATTTCCTTTGAGATGCAGAAGCGTATTTGTTTTTTCGGCCAAACTAGCGATGCCCAGGGTTTACTCCTGGTGGGGCTCAGGGGACCATATGGGGTACTGGGGATTGACCCAGGTCAGCCGTGTGCAAGGTAGAGTCCCTTCCCTCTCTTGCCTTTGAATATCTAGGTCTTCAGTCTGTTTTGATTTGACTTTTGGGGGAGAGATTCTGCATGCATAGATTTGTTTCTACAATCTTTTAATCTTTTAAGACTTCCAGCTGCTACCCTCTTCCAACAAAAGCTCCAAACCTTTTTTTTTTTTGTTGTTGTTTGTTTTTGGACCACTCCTAGTGATAGTGCTTAGGGAGCACTCCTGGTGGGTTCTGGGACCATCTGTATAGTGCTGGGGATCGAATGTACACTGGCCTGGCCCAAAGCAGAAGGCAGGGACTTTGCCTGCTGTACTATCGCTTCGATCTCTTCAGATATTTCTGAACGTGGTTTTCTTTTGTTCAGCTATTTTTGGGGGTGGGGTGGGGGTGTTGGACTACACGTGGCAGTGCTCAGGGTTCATTTCGGGTTCTGTGCTCAGGGATCACTTCTGTCAGTGCATGGCCATCTGTGGTGCTGGGTGGGCCAACAAGTAAGGCAAACTCACAGATACTAGACTTTGGGTTCTCCTGAGAGTTCTTGAGATAAGCTAGCTTGCTCTTTCCCTGGTAATATTGGGAGACTTGACCAAGAGTGGACCGTTCCTGTTTGATGTCAGACTGCTTAAATAAAATACCACGTAAGCTCTTTGAGTGATAACATTTTTGCTTTTTGTCTTTGGGCCACATGCGGTGATGCTCAGGGCTCACTCCTGGTGGGCTCAGGATTATATGGGATGTCAGGCATAAATCCTGGTCTGCTGCTTGTAGACAGTTGCCCTACCTGCTGTACTACTGCTCCAGCCAAATCAGCAATTTCTCGCCTTCCGTTTTCTCTCCCTTCTCTACCCCCATATTTCTCTAAATAAATTTTCTTTTACCAAAAAACGAACAAAACAAAAACCAGAAGCCAAAAAACCAACCAAATGAACGGGTAACATTTGTGGCCCAAGCTGTGGTGACGGGACTAAATGATGGGAATTTGGAACTCATTCTCAAATGAGCTGAGTCTCCACTGTGGCTTAAAGATGCTGTGTCTGGTTATCCCTGGTGGAGATGACAGAGGGCAGAGGCAGCGAACCTGGTCTGAAAGCATAGTCACCTGTGAGCAAACAGAACAGCCTGAAATCTTCAATATAGCTGTGGCTTTTGTGTTCCGTGGCCTCCCCCAGGGGTCCTCAGGGTCGCCAATATTCTAGGCCACCATGCTCTGAGTCTCTGTGCACTAGACTGTGGTCTGGCCCTGTGCGCCGTCCCCCCAGCCAGTAACCGCTGGTGCTCAGGCTCGGAGCTTGCTGCTGGCCGACCTTGCTTGAGGATCATGCAGTGTACTTTCACCTAACCAGCCTTTGTTTTTTGGGTGCTCTTTGGGCTGGAGCGATAGCACAGCGGGTAGGGCGTTCGCCTTACAAGCGGCCAACATGGCTGACCCGAGTTCGATTCCTCCGCCCCTCTCGGAGAGCCCGGCAAGCTACTGAGAGTATTCCATATGCCAAACACAGTAACAACAAAGTGTCCAATGGAGATGTTACTGGGCCCGCTCGAGCAAATCGAAGATCAACGGGAGGGCCTTTACCTTTTTTACCTTAGGGCTTACTCCTGGCTCTATGCTAAGGAATAATCACTCTCTGTGGGGCTTAGTGAACCATATGGGTTGTTGGTATTAAACCCAGATTAGTTGTGCATATGGCAAGTGTTCTGCCCGCTGTACTATCACTCCAGTTCCCAGTTGCAGCCTCTTAGAGATGAGCCCAAGAGCTGCTCGATTTCCTTGTTTTAGTCCATCATTGCTTTCATGGTGAGTGTTCTTTCGTTAAAGTTTATTTCTTGGGGACTGGGCAGATAGTCCAGAGGATAGGGCACTTGGCTTGCCTGTGGCTGACCTGGATTCAATCCCCAGCATCCCATATGGGTTCCTGAGCCCCATTAAGAGTGATTCCTGAGCACAGAGCCAGGAGTAAGCCCTCAGCATTGCTGACTGTGGCTCAACCGTTATCCCCACCCAAAAGGCTTTCGTTTCCAAATGTTGAGAAGCCACGGTGTCCTAAGAGCCTTTGCTCTTAGTTGTCTTTAGGCCCTCTCCCCCCTGACCATATCTTGCCCTAAGCCCTGTCACTGTTGATAACCTGTGATAGGTGCCTCATAAATCCTCTATTGTTGTCAGGAAGAAGTGGACTTGAAGTTTTTTTTTTTTTTTTTTTTTTTTTTTAATTAGTGAAGCACCATGAGGTACAGTTGTAGATTTACAAATCTTTGTGCCTGAGTTTTGGTCATACAATGATCAAATACCCATCCCTCCACCAGTGCCCATTTCCCCCCACCCCCTGAAGTTTTTTTTTAATTTTTTTTTTAATTGACAAGATCCATTTTTTTCTTAGGGATTTATCTTCCGAAGAGGAGAAGTTTATGAAACCCAAGGTAACCATGATAGCTTGGAATCAGAATGATAGCATTGTGGTTACTGCCGTGAATGACCATGTCCTCAAAGTGTGGAACTCCTATACTGGACAGCTGCTTCATAACTTACTGGTAAGTAGTTGTTTCAGAGGAATAGTTCTCAGTGAAATGACATTGGTAGTGTAGAAATAACTGGTGCGGTTTTAAAGTGGGGGGCACAGAGTACACGCAGCATACGGGGAGGGGGTTTCGCCCCCCCCCCCCCCGTCCTCGGCCTGATTGAGCCTGGTGATCAGATGCTACTTGGACCCAGTGTCTGCTGGGGTCCCAGGGCTGCGCACCTTGGCATTTTGTGTTTGGGTTGTGCTCTAGCCCTTGCTGCTCTCTCCCGGGCCTGGATTGGTAGGTTTATAAAACAAACATTTTGATCTTGGGCCTCACCCAGCTCTGCTCAGGGCTTACCCATGTCTCTGTGCTCAGGAATGTCTTTTGTTTTTGTGCTCAGAGGACCATTTTTGGTTCTGGGAATTGAACCAGTATTGGATACACTCCCATACTGTGTCTCTGGTCTGACAACTTATTTTTACTGAAGTAATTTTGGATCTAGGAGTTCACATATATCTGTGTGGCGAGGTAGTTTTTAAGCAGTATGACATCAATTTAATTTTGAACTAAAATTATTTTTGATGGTGTATTTATTGTCAATAGAAATTTGTGTTATTTATGTACATCATAACACACCAAAATATAAATGCATTTAGTTATTAGAAACAAGAGTAATATATATGTTTGTGTGTATATGTGTAATTTTTTTGAGGGGGGTTGGGTGGGACTATCTCAGGATCATTCCTGGCAGGGTCACTGAGACCATACGCAGTGCTGGGAATCACCTGGGTCGAACCCTATGAAAGGCAAGCACCCTCCCTACTGTACTGTCTCTCAGGCCCCAGTAGTAAGGATTTTTAATTTTGAGTTTGTAGCCATAAACCCCATTTATTAACTCTCTGACTTTGTTGAATGAAGGGACATGCTGATGAAGTATTTGTTTTGGAGACCCATCCCTTTGATTCCAGAATTATGTTATCTGCAGGACATGATGGCAGCATATTTATTTGGGATATTACAAAAGGCACCAAGATGAAACATTATTTTAACATGGTAAGTGAGCTTTGTGCATGTTTGTATTGGTTGCAAGCATTTAGATACGAAGTTGAGGTAGAATATTACTTAGGTAAAGATCGGACACTGGCATCCCGCAAAGCATTTGCTCAGCACACTGAGCTTTCTCCAGCCCTGTGTGGTTCATTTTTAGTGACCAACAGACCCATACTGCAGTCAGTATCAGGAACATCCATGCTCACTCAAGAGCTCTGCCCTGAGCTGTCCCTGCGCTGCACTGTTCACACAGGGACTCACTTAACTGAACTGGTACCATCGAACTCCTGCAAAACAGCTTATAATTAATGTTTTTAAGGAGATATTCCTGCTGCACTTGATCCTGAAATTCGTGGCAAATTGAAATAGTTGTTTAATTATAAATTGGTAAGATCAGAGTCCTGCAAAACAGCTGAAAGTTGGTATTTTTTTTTCTTTTTTTTTTTTCCTTTTTGGGTCACACCCAGCGATGCACAGGGGTTACTTCTGGCTCATGCACTCAGGAATTACTCCTGGCGGTGCTCGGGGGACCTTATGGGATGCTGGGAATCGAACCCCTCTTGGCTGCATGCAAGGCAAATGCCCTACCCGCTGTGCTGTCCCTCCAGCCCCTGATAATTGTTTTTAAGGAGATAATCCTTGATCTTGAAATTTCTGACAAATTGAAATAGCTATAACTGGGCCTTTCATTTTTGTATGTACCCCTGAGACTTGAGGGTGTTCACATTTTGCATGGTAGTCCTTTTTGTGAAGAACAGGTGCTGATACTTAAAAATAAGACATGGAGAAGATTAAGCTTTTGTTACTTTTTATGTGTTTGCCATCTAGGTTATTGTTTATAGCCATTAGTTACATTTTTAAAAAATAAGAGCTTTTAAAATTGTCATTCATTTATCAATCTTTTGCAATTTTGAAAATTAATTTTTTTGGGGAGTCACATCCAGCTCTGCTCAGGACTTACACCTGGCTCTCCATTCAGGGGTCACTCCTGGCAGATTTTGAGGTTCTGGGGTGGGTTGCATGCATGCAAGTGCCCTACCCATTGTACTATCGCTCCTCTGGCCATGAGAATTTTTTAGTTTCTTTTTATGTAGGCTAATGATATGTAAAATAAGTTTTATTTTCTCTAAATTCTGTGATGTGAGTTGTTTAGACAGTTGTAAATTATTTCTGATTATATAATTTCATTGTCTTGGATCACCAATGGTTGTGCTCAGTGCTTATTCCTAGCTCTGTGCTCAGGGGTCACTCCTGACAGTGCTTGGGGAACTATGTGCTGGGGTCGGCCGCTGGTGACGCCAGCACCTTCCTCACTACTCTTATTGGCCTCTAGTTTATTTTATTCACTGTTGTTTACAAAGCTGTTGATAATAGTTGAGCTGTTCACTATTCCAACTCCACACTGAGTATCAGTATCTGTATCCCTCACTAGTGTCCCAAGGTTTCCCCCTCTCCCTGTCCCACTCCCCTGGCCCCCCTCCTCCAAATTAAGTATTCATCAGTGATGAGTAATTGCATCCTGTTACTCTAAACGCGGGTTGAGCTGTCCAAAGCTCACTTGTGTAGAATCGCTTGTGTGATTTTCCCTGTGTTTCCTAGATCGAAGGACAAGGCCATGGAGCTGTGTTTGACTGTAAGTTCTCACAGGATGGACAACATTTTGCCTGTACAGATTCTCACGGCCATCTTCTCATATTTGGTTTTGGATGCAGCAAGCCATATGAAAAGGTCATTTTTGATACTTTACTGTAGTATGTGAAATAAGAAAACAATGGTTTGGATTGGTTCTGTGTACTAACATAATTTTCTTTGTTTTTCCTAGTGATAATATCTAAAGCTCAAAATGTCCATCTGTCACTTTCCCTTTCCTAGATTCCTGATCAGATGTTCTTCCATACCGATTATCGGCCACTGATTAGAGACTCGAATAATTATGTCTTAGATGAGCAAACTCAGCAGGCGCCTCATCTCATGCCCCCACCATTTTTGGTCGACGTTGATGGGAATCCTCATCCAACGAAGTATCAGAGATTAGTACCAGGCCGAGAAAATTCTGCTGATGAACATTTGGTTCCACAACTTGGTTATGTGGCAACAAGTAGGTTCCCAGTTGTTTTTATTTGGAAATTGTAAAAAATAGTTTAGTGCATGCCAGTAGTATCAGACTCACCAGTCATTTTGCAGGAAATGTTTTCTCTTTTCGGGTGGGTCACACCTGGCTTGTTCTCAGGGATCCCTTTTGGGAGGCTCTGGGGACCATATGTGGTGCTGGGGATTGAACTGGATTACCTGTGTGCAAGGCAAGTGCCCTACTCAACCATTCTCTCTCTCGCCCCTGGAGTAATTTCCTTCGTTGGATTTGCAGGTGATGGGGAGGTAATTGAACAAATTATCAGCCTCCAAACCCATGATAATGGGGAACGAAGCCCAGAGCCCAGTGTCCTGGACGGAATGATACGACAGTTGCAGCTGCAGCAAGACCAGCGACTGGGGACTGCTCAGGAGGCTGTGCCCAGTGGGCTTCCTGACGGCGAAGGGACTCCGCGGAGAGGTACTAAAGAGCTGGGCAGTACTGGGTCTCAGTGTGGTTGAGTTGGAATTGAATTGCAAAGTTAATGTGAGGAGCTCAAAGGAAGCATTGCTAGAGAATGTTGTCGTAGCTCTGAGTGTGCGCTAGTCGTCTGATTTTCAGTACCCGGGAGAGGCTATTAAAACCTGTGGTACGGACTATGATGTAGGCCATGTTAATGAGCGCTTGCCAGGCTGTTTGTGACCCTGCCTTTAATACCCCTGCTAAAATTAAAAAAAAGAAAAAAAAAAGAGGATCATTTCTGGCGGTCTCAGGTCCATATGGGGTGCCAGGGATCAAACCCGGAAGCCGGCTGTGTGCACAGTGCTAACCACTGTGCCCTAAAGCTTCGGGCTGTGTAGGCGAGAGTATTGTTTGCCAGTTCAAGCTGTGTTTCTGATTTGTTTTGGGGCCACACCTGGTGCTGCTCAGGGCTCACTCCTGACTCTGCGTTCTGAAATCAGGATCCCTCCCAGCAGTGTGGGTTCGGGGGTCCATATGGGTGCTGCGGATCAGATCTGAGTTGGCTGCATGCTTGGCAAAAGCACACCCCACTGTACTGTCGCTTTGGTCTCCATGCTGGAGCTCTAACAGATGCTGCCTTTGTGCATAGTATGGGCACTGACCCTTTCTTCCTGCCTTCATCTTTATAAAAAGGAGAGCCCAAGGATCAGCCGTATATTTGACAAGTACCTTACTTGCTTTACTGTTTCTCTGGCCCCCAGTGCTACTTTAAGTAGGTGAAGTATGGTGTTGCATGTAGCATGATTGATAGCATAAGGACATGTGTGTAAGAATGCACAAGCTTGTTAACTGATGGCTGTTCTCATAGGACACAGGCTGATGTAAGTGGAGGAGGATTTTTGTCTCCTGGAAAGGATGGACTGTTGCAGTGGCGGCACAAGCCCATCTACCCTGTGTTTTTTTTTGTGGGGGAGGTGTAGAGGGGTGGGGTTTGGAGCCATGCTCTGTAGTGCTGGGTGTATAGTTATCATACTGCTTGGGGTTGCTCCTGGCCATTGAACTGAACTGAGCCCCGTACAAATCTCTGGCCCCCAAAGTGCGTCCCTCCCCCGGTTTATGGGCCATACCTGGTGGTGCTCAGTGGCTCCTCTGGGATGCTGGGTATTGAACTGGCTTGGTTATGTGCAAGGCAAGTGCTCTACCCACTGTACTATCTCTCTGGCCCCTGTTTTGTGTATTTAAAGCCATTTGACCTGGAGCTCCCTTGCCAGGCCCCATCCTTACAGACTTTCTCCCTGGGAGGTTGTTGTGTTGCTTGCAGCCCAGCAGGTGCGTCCTGCATAGGCTTGGGGCTTACTGCTGCTGGCGTTGCCCTGTCACCCACACCTGCCCTCTCTCAGTACGTGCTGCTACTGTTTACCTTTTCTTGGCTTGGTCTTGACCCGGCAAGCTACCGAGAGTATTCGATATGCCAGACACAGTAACAACAAAGTCTCCAATGGAGATGTTACTGGGCCCGCTCGAGCAAATCGACGATCAACGGGAGGGCCTTTAAGTAATTTAATTTAATTTAATTTTATTTTATTTTTTGGACTCAGCCAACAATGCTCAGGGGCTTTACTTGTGGCTCTATGGTCAGAAATTACTTTTAGCAGGTTCTAGAGACCATCTGGGTTGCTGTGGATTACACTGGGGTGAGCAGGCGAGCTCTTCTCTGAACTCTTTCCACCCAAAATTGTTGGGTGTCCCTGCGGTGTCACTGAGCATCATGGAGTGGTTGGTGCTGACAGAGCCTTCTGTACACTGTTTTTGCTACTTGAGCTGGGTGGGCGTCTACACAGCTTTCCCATTAGATGTGCTCTGCGCCTACTGGGCTGGCAGTACTGGGAAATGTGGAGGTTCATGTGGCCCCATGATCCGGGAACTGTTGGGCAGCCGTGGCTGCTTAAAAGAGATTTAGCTTTGGAGCTGGGCTGTATCTGTGCCAGATGTTGGGTGTGGGTGCGGACATCAGAGACTTGCAGTTGGGGTGCGGGGGGAATCTGTGCTCCCCCTTTTTTGAGAAGGCCTCAGGGTTCTCAGTCCAGAGACTGTTCTGTCTCCGACCATTCACCGGCTTGGCGATGATTAGTGAATGTTACTGGAATTCTTGTTCTAGAGGCACTGCGTTGAGGAGGCTTCTCTTCAGTGCTGATCTTTCCGGAACTTGTTTCCATGCTCATAGAAGAAAGCATTTTTAGGAATTCAAATATGGTAGTGTACTAGAAAAATGCCTTTAATTAAATAAAACTGTTAATTTCGGCTAGAATAATGGCACAGCAACCTTAGGGTGTTTGCCTGGCACGAGACTGATTCCTGATGTCCCATATGGGTCCCTGAGCACCACCAGAGGTAATTTCTGAGTGCAGAGCCAGGAACAACCCCTGAACATCGGCAGGTTTGGCCCCTCCCTTTCCCCCTCCAAAAAAAAAAAAAGCATAAAACTCCCCCAAAACCTATGAATTCTAGTGAATGTATAAGCTAATAGGTTAATAATTCTGTATTTTGTATTGTTATCTTAGTTACTGCAGTTTTTTAAGTAGATTTTTATTTTTTGGTTTGTATATGTTGAGAGAGACTTACATTCATTATATGTATTTAAGATAATTAATTGGAAGTTAGTTTTTCAGTCATCTTTTGATAATTTTCCTCTAGGTTTTAGACGACTGAGCTTGGACATCCAGTCCCCTCCGAATATCGGTCTGCGCCGTAGCGGGCAGGTGGAAGGCGTCCGTCAGATGCACCAGAACGCGCCCCGGAGCCAGATTGCCACTGAGCGGGACCTTCAGGCCTGGAAGCGAAGAGTGGTTGTCCCAGAGGTACCACTAGGCATATTTAGGTTTGTTTTAGGATATTATTAATATTGCTTCTCTGTACACAAATATAGCTATGGTTATTTAACACAAATTTTTAATCCCTTCGTGGTATGCATATATTTTATATGCATATATTTTAGTAATGGATTGCCATCAGTGTTTATTGTGGTAGGAAAATGTCAAAATTGCCCTTTTTCCTACGGCAAATTTTGTCGTAGCCATTTTTATTTTATGTTCAACCTACTTTTTTCTTGATTCAGAGTTTATGCATTTTCTCTGAGTAAGGGAAGTATTTATGTGTGCCTTCCCTTTCTGCTGGGTCTGTCAGGAATGGGACCTCTGGCCTCTCAGCTCTGGTGTCTAATGCTATGGAGCTATTACTACCTCACCAAAAGATTCCCAGGATGAGGATGGAGTGCAGTTCAGAGTGCTTGTCTGGAAGCTTCAGGGCCTGAGCTCAGTCAAGAAGAGGGAAGAAAAAGTTCTCAGAGCAAATATTCAGTGGTTGAATTCACAGTTGTCTCATGGCTTTAACATTCATAGTGTTGATTTGCTATTTTTGGGTTCCTGGGCTTGAACCCCAGGGCCCAGCAGGTTGCTAAAGGCAAGTGCCTAAACCCCCACATACGGTCCTGACCCCAGACAACCGTGATATTTCAAGCCTTCATTTATATTTTTGTTTTATTTTGGATTTTGGGCCAAGCCCAGCAGTGCTCAGGGCTTATCCCTGGCTCTGTGCTCAGTAATCACTTCTGGAATGTGTGGAGGTTTCTGAGTGATGACTCAGGACGCTGGAAGGTCTGTTTCTGTGTCTGTTCTGGTGTTAGTGAAGTACAGGTGAGGAGAAGTCGCTGTGGCAGTATTGAGCCTGTGTCCTGCAGTTCCTAAAGAAAATGTGGGTTTTGAATGAGTTTGGGAGTGGATGCTGCATGAGAGGAAGAGTAATCTTGGAAATTCAGTCATTGGTGCTGTGCTAATGAGTCTGGAGATCCTGTTTGAGATGATTGTGGGGCCAGTTACGCTGCAAAGGAAAAACAGGACCTCCTAACTGTCCCTTAAATTTTGTTTCCAGTAAATGCCTAACACTTAGTTCTATTACTTGAGGAAATTTCTGTGTCGAAGTGAATCAGCATCATAATGATCAATATTTTCTTCGTAGATCATTTCTTAACCTTCAGTTCAGTAACTAACAACTGGTGCTTTTAAATTTTTTAGGAAGCTAGAAGATTTCAGAATCGAGAAAGGTGAGGAGGAAAGAAATCTTTATATCATCGGAAGGAAAAGGAAGACTTTCCAGCTTGCACAGAAGGTAAGCTTCATTTTATTTTCTTATGAAAAAGCAAGTTAGGAGTTAAACTCTCAGTGTGTTAGGAATTTCTTGATTAAATCTTGTGTATTTAAAATTGTAGACACTGGAACTGGAGCAATAGCACAGCGGGTAGGGCGTTTGCCTTGCATGCGACCGACCCGGGTTTGATTCCCAGCATCCCATATGGTCTCCTGAGCACTGCCAGGAGTAATTTCTGAGTGCAGAACCAGGAGTAACCCCTGTGCAACGCTGGGTGTGACCGAAAAAGAAAAAGAAAAAAAATTGTAGACACTGGGTTGTACATTTCGGGAAGAGTTTGAAAACTCCACTGTCTCTGGTCCAGTATATTTTCAGTTACAAAACTTGATACACATTAACAAAAAAATTTTTACAAATATCAGACCTGACAGACTAAGGAAAATAGAGCTCTATTTTTTTTTTAAATTTTTATAATTATGTTTTGGGCTGTGAGTCAGGAGTCAGGTCGGTGCCCGTACCAGCGATGACATGCCTTACTGTGTGGGCAGATGGCTCGGTGCAGGAATCCAGTGAAACATGCCACTCGGCCTGGCAGTGCTGGTACCGTTGGCCAGTTAGAAGTGGGGCACACAGGACTCGGGAGTTGAGGAATTGCATGTCCCAGTCCTTACTTAAAGATTAAGCGCAGGGGCTGGAGAGACAGTACAGTGGGTAGGACACTTGCATGTGACTGATCCAGATAACGATTCCTGCAACCCCGTGTGGTCCCTTGAGTACCACCAGGAGTGATCCCTGAGCATTGTCAGATGTGTCCCAATCCCCCATCTCCCTCAGAAATCTAAATCCAGCGGCTGGAGTGATAATGCAGAGGGTAGGATGCTTGCTTTGCGCTCAGCCCACTGTGGGCTCAGTCCCTGGCACCCCATTGAGCTCCAGAGTCCCTCCAGGCTTGTTCCCTGCACATGGAGCCTGGAGTCAGTCCTGAGCACAGAGGGCATGGCCCAAAAGCTAAGGCTGAGATTATGGGAGAAATAATTCAATCCTTTTTTTTTGACTTTATAGATTATTTAAATTTATTGTGGTAATATAATGGGCTGGAGCTATAGGATAGCAGGTAGGGTGTTTGCCTTGTATGTCTAGGGTGTTTGCCTATCTGGGTTCGATTCCTCCACCCCTCTCGGAGAGCCCGACAAGCTACTGAGAGTATTCCACCCTCACGGCAAAGCCTGGTAAGCTACCCGTGATGTATTCGATATGCCAGAAATAGTAATAAGTCTCACAATGGAGATGTTACTGGTGCCCGCTCGAGAAAATCAATGAACAACAGGAGGACGGTGACCAATATATATAATAAAGGGGCCGGAGTACAGTGGGTAGGGTGTTCGCCTGCCATCATCCTTGGTTCGATCCCCAGCATCCCATATGGTTCCCAAGCACCATTCATGGGAAGAGTCAGGAGTGACCCCTGAGCATTGCTGGGTGTGGCCCTCCCCAAACAAAACAAAAAACTCAAGCACACCCAAAGTCACTGTCACTGTCCTCCCGTTGTTCATCGATTTGCTCGAGCGGGCCCAGTAACTTCTCCATTGGAGACTGTTGTTACTGTGTTTGGCATATCGGATACATCATGGGTAGCTTGCCAGGCTTTGTGTGGGTGAGATATTCTCAGTAGCTTGCCGGGCTCTCCGAGAGGGGCGGAGGAATTGAATTTGGGTCGGCCATATTGGTCACTACCATATTTTAAATTTTAATTGGGAAATAACAAAGTTTATATTTGAGTTTGTCAGTTATTTTCTTATGTTTTCACACATTACATTATGTATAAAATCATTTTTACTTTGCATTTAATTTTACTTTTTTAGTATGTTTTTGTTTTTGTTTTTTGGGTCCCACCCACAGATGCTTGGGGGTTATGGCTCTGCACTCAGGTATGACCCCTGGCAGTGCATAGGGGACCCTATGGGATGCTGGGGATCGAACCCTGGTTGGACATGTGCAAGGCAAATGCCCTACCTGCTGGACTATCATTCCAACCCCTTTTGGCCATACTCAGGCAGTGCTCAGGGCTTACTCCTGGCTATGTGCTCAGAGAGCACTCCTGAACAGGTCTCAGTAGACCTTCTGGATTATTGAGGATTGGGCCCAGGTCAGCTGCAATCTCTCTCTAACCCCAAAATAATCTATTTTTAAAGTGATAGTTTTTTGTTTCTTTCTACCACCAACTTACTCATAATAGAAGTTATTTTACGTCATAATTTGGAGAATGCCAATTCGATGCATGTTATTTACCCATGTTTTCTCTGTGCAGTAAAGTTATACCATTTCATTTTACAGTATATATTGAACAGATCCATTAAAGAACTTGTGTTTTCTTTTCTTTCTTTTTTTTTTCAAATTTATTTATTGAATCACCTTGAGAGCAGTTACAAAGTTTTTGGTTTAAAGCTCAGTCATACATCGATGGAACACCGGTTCCTTCACCAGTGCACATTTTCCACCACCAAAATCCCCAGAATACCCCCCCCCCACCCCACACCCTCCCTCTACCTGTGTGGCATACGATTTCAACATTACTCTCTCTCTACTTCGATCACCAGACCCAACATTGTTATTTGACTCTTTACCCCAACACTCAAATCTGCCGAAAAGGCAACATTAGACAATTTGTTTTCTGTTGCTGATTATGAATTGCATATGATATTGCATGGCCGTGTGACTTTGGAATTCTGAAGTTATAGTAATTAAATCTGGAGGAATTTCTGCCAAAAGCTTATGGGTTCTGAGATTTGTTTCTGAGCCTCTGGAATCATGGCCAATAAGCAGCTTGATCAGCAGCCAGGGGGCCATTCGTGTGCGGCAACTCGGGGTATCCTGGTGTGGGGAAAGAGAAAGGCTGGCTCCGCCCCCACCCCATGAGGCCCGGCATTTCTTGTCACTGTGGGCCGCTACCTGGCTGTCTATAGGCCTCTGGAAGATGGTGGCTACTGAGCCGCCAGAGGGAACAGGCCAAGACATGAAACCTGTTCCCACCTGGTGTGGCCCGGCGCTGGAAACCTAAGTCCAGATGCATTTCTGCCAAAAGCTGCTGGGTTCCGAGATTTGTTTCTGAGTCTCTGGGATTATGACCGACAAGCAGCTCGATCAGCAGCCTGAGTGCTCTGTTTTATTTTCTTAATTGGTATTTTAGGAATGTCTTCGTATTGGCCAGTTTGTTGGCGACAGACTTGTTTATTGCCTGTTTATTTCAGTCTGTTCCGGTGGTTCTGATGTCACAGTCTCGGCAGAGGACGTGTCGACGTAAATATACAAATTACGGGAGAAGAAATCTTGGACGACTCGAGTTGTCTTCTGAAAATGAATCTTCAAGCTCTGTACGACATGTAAGTCAAGTAACTTTAAATTATAGAGGTAACCTGAAATAATTTCTGAAATAATTTGTTTCTTCAATTTGAAGCACTTTGAAATTATGGAAAACATAGAGGCCGCGCGACATCTTATCAGGACATCTTTTTATGACATCTTATTATCTCATTCCTACTTTGGACAAACTTGCAGGCTATCGAATGTAGCCTGCCCACAGGGCAGAGTCTGGCAAACTCCCCGTGGCGTACCACATATGCCAAATACCAGTAACAATGATGGGTCTCATTCTCCTAAAGAGCCTTGAATATAATCTCAGGGCTAGGATGAAAGAGACGTTACTGGGGCCTGCTCGAGGCAATCGACGAATAACAGGATGATGAATGAATGAATAGTGTTATATAGAAGAAATTCTAAATTTTCAGTTCTTTCCCCAAAAATCTTTAGCAGTTTTATTTACATATCTACCACTTGTCACTTGTCACCCTGTTGTTCATCGACTTGCTCGAGCAGGCGCCAGTAACGTCTCCATTTGTCCCTGTCGTGTGCTAGCGTAGCCCAGTGGTGTATTGGGGGCTCTTTCAGGGTCAGTGGAATGAGGCCCGTTAACTGTTATGTTTTGGCGTATCGAATACGCCACGGGGAGCTTTCCAGGCTCTGCCGTGCAGGCGGGATAGCTTGCCGGGACGGAGCGCCCCAGGAAAAACTGCATCGCTCTCTTCAGAAGTGTAAAATTGGGTGGTCTTAGTGGCTTAGTTGAATTGTGCCATTATAAGTATTTAATTTCAGAGTACTTGCATTACCTATTAAAGAGCCCTTGGCCTGGGCCGGGAAGTAAGAGTGGTTGAGGTGCTCGCTTTGCCTGGGCCTGAACCTGGCTCCCTTCCTGGTACCACAGTTTCTCTAGCACAGGAAAAACCCAGGAAACAAAACCTTAGGTTCATTTTGCAGTTGGTCCTCATTTTCACCCCAGTGTCCTTTTACAGCTAATTTTCTTGGTCTGTATTTCTGTGTTTTGGCCCTTGCCTATAAAGGGATCATGATCTATTTTGTGGCTTTATTTCCCCTACGTAACTCAGTGCACACACATGAACCTGGTTGAGAAAGAACTCCCATCTTCCAGTATTCCACTGCACAGCATACTGTATTTCGCGTCCCCACGTGGCAGCTGATGCACAGTTGTATGTTGCCCCACACTGGCTATTAGTGGAGCGCTGCTGACCAGCATTCCTATCCTTTCCTGTGCGGCCACAGTGTCCCGGGGGCTGTTTCAGAGCGGGTTTGCGGGGTCAGCTGGAAACTGAAAGTCACGAATAGGGAGAGGGCCTCAGTGGGTCAATTCAGAACATGTAGTTTTGGTTCATTGATGCTGCCCCTGACTCTCCATAGACGGTTTTCTTCAAAGAATCGGGCCCGTCCAGTAGAAGTAGAGCAGGGCCAGGGCCAGCAGCTTGTGGCTCAGTGACTCGAGCTGGTGACACTCCGCTCTGTGGCGCCTGGGGTTGACTGGGCGACTTTTTTTCCCATTTATTATTCATTTAATTTCAGTTTCCCCCTTATCCTTCATTTAAACACTGTAGTTTACAAAGTTGTTCATGATGATTTGTTGCAGACATTCAGTAATTGAACACCAGTTCCATTGCCGTTATATTTCCCCCTACTATTATTCCCAATTTTCCCAGCCTTAAGCTGCCCCCATAGCAGGTCCTTAATAATTTATTTAATACTGCTTGTCAGTAATTTGCTAAGAAAATGATCAAGAAATGTTTTCTTAGAAGAAAGCGAAGATTGTTGTATCTCACCTTGAAGCCATTAAGTCCCTGTGAGAGATTAGTAAGGTATTAACAAAGTTTTTATATTTTGTTAATCGAGATCGATTGCCTCTATGTTATATCCCATCCAATCCCATGTGCTACTCCTGGTTTATCAGTGCTGTAGAGTTTCAGATATCCAGGAACTCTAATATTTTAACGGGGTGTTATAGCTGCAGTTAAGTTTTAAACTATGGTGACTTTGGGGTGTGTGCGTGACTGTTGGGGCTTCTGGAAGTACAGGGAGATGGAGGGGAGGGAAGATAGTCCATCCTCGACTCTGCCAGAGCCTGGATATTTCAGTCACCAAACCCGCATACCTGTTTTTTTTTTCAGTGGATTGATTAATGGGTGAGGCTCATCCTGAGCAGTGGGGTCTGGCCGGGAGCATGGGGGTGATTGTGGAGTGGAAGAGCTTTGTGCTGCTGGGGCCCTGCCCCGCTCTGGGGTGCCCTGGATGCCAGCCTTGAATGGGTGTACGGGAGTCTTCTGGCACTCGTTGATCTCTTTCGAGGTTTTTTATGAGTTTCTGGATCATGGCCTGTAAAGGAGCTTACATGGCACTGGAGGTGGTTCATGGGCGTGATTACCGGGACTTTGGGAAGTACAGGGGGTTGAGGGGGAGTCGCTCATCCCATCTTAGTGGGTTGCATTTATTGGCACTGTGCAGGTGTGGCACCAGGGATCTGAGCCGGGCTGCCTGTCGGTAGCACTCTCCGTGGGTCACTGGTCACGGCCTCATGCAGTGACATGACTTCAGTCTTTGAGAGGAAAACTTGACAAGTTGGATTTAATTGGAATGAAAATCTGCTGCTCTGGGGGAGATTAAGAGAATTAAAAGATAAGCCATGGACTGGGAGAAAATGCTTATGAATTACCTCTGATAGGGCCAGAGAAGGTCATACCGGGTGTGAGGCACATGTCATGCGTGTGGTCAGTCCCCATCTGGCCCTCAGCACCATGTTGCCCCTGTATCTATCTCACCAGGAGCCCACAGAACGCAGGACCTGAGCACCACCACAGGTTTGAGCCATGGTTTGCTGAGAATTGCCTGCAGGGGGTCCCTGAACCTCTTGTGTACTGCTTGTGCAGCCCCCAAAACAAAAACCAACCAACCAAAGATCTGCCAGGGGCAGGAGCAGTGTGGTACAGCAGGGAGGGCATTGGTCTTGCACGCAGCCGACTTGGGTTCAGTCTCCAGCATCTCATACGGGATGGATCACTCAACAGTGCTGAGTATTGTCAGGAGTGATTCCTGAGTGCAGAGTCAGAGTTGCCCCTGAATGTTGCTGGGTGTGATCCAAAAAGGAAAAAATACAAACTAAAATGAACTGCCAGCCCTGTGTGGGTTTGGTTGGATGGCAGGTTTGTACCTCTCATCTATCGTGCCCCGAACCATTGCCTGGGCCCTGCCAGTGGGCTTTGGGTACTGAAGGGGCTGGGTAGGGCAACCCACTCCCCCAAACAAAACAAAACACAGGAACTGCAAACTTGTAACATTTCTTTTGATTTGCTCACTTCACTCAGAAATTGGTTTCTTGTGGAAACTTCTTTTCGACTAGTATTATGTTGCCTTGTGCCTGGATAACATTAAGGATGTAGCAAAGATGATTCACTCTTATTTCAAGTTTGTCCGATTCCATTTGATTGCTCGGTCGTTGTGCACCTGAAGTTATTAGGCTCACCGTGCTTTTTGTGTGTGTTATATTACCTCAGAAATAAAGATTTTACTTCCCCTGCACTCATTAGGAGACGTCTTGTGATCAGAGTGAAGGCTCTTGTTCTTCCGAAGAAGAAGAGTGGAAAAGTGATAGAAGAAGTCCAAGTGACAGCGAAAGTTCCAGGTACATATGCGTTGGCGTATTTGCTCTTGTAAGCATTTCGTTTATTTAGTCCTTTGTATTTTTGCCTCTGAGCCAATGCTAGCAGTGTCCAGCTGTGTGTGGCTAGTCCCTTGACCCTTGACCCAGTGCTTTAAGGATCAGTGGAACTGCTGGCCCTCAGCCAACTGGAGTGCTAGGGCTTTCCCGAGAGATGGGTGCAGACGGGTAAGGGCCTCCTTTTCTGCTTGATTCTTCTTCGTGTGGCTGCATTTCCTTCTCTTTTACTCTTGTCGTTCTGGGGAGGGAACCCTTCCTGGCAGGAAGTTCTGGGAACCTGGATCTTCCTATCTGCTCTGGCTCTTGTTTCATTGGACTTTACATAGTCTCCAGTTTCCCTGGAAGGCCAGTAGGGCCAGTGGGTGGTAGTTGGATGCTTGTGGGTTTAGTTTCTGTTTGGCTCAGACTTGGTGCTCAGGGCTTTCTCAGGGTCACTCCTGGTGGGGGTGGATCATCCTGGCTGGCCGAATACAGGGCAAGTGCGCTACCTGCTGTACACACAGCGTTTCTGCCCCACTTTTCTGTTCTCTTAAGATCGTGTTTGATTTCTTTGCTAATTGGACTTCTGATTCCATATGACTTAACATGCTTTCCCATTTTTTTAGAGGGTGTGACACCTGACAGTGCTCAGGGCTTATTCATGCTTCTGTGCTCAAGGACCACCCTATTGGTGTTTGGGGGATCAAATGGGGTGCCAGGGAGGGAACCTGGGTCTGCCACATAACAAGGCGACAGCCCTCCCCGCTAAAAGTATCTTTGTCACCACTTAACATGCTTTTCTTTCGTAGTGATTCTTCTTCCCGATACTCCGATTGGACGGCTGACGCAGGCATCAATTTGCAGCCTCCCTTACGGACTTCCTCGCGCCGACGAGTGACTCGATTCTGTAGCAGTTCAGAAGATGAAATGTCGACTGAGAATTTGTCTCCTCCCAAAAGAAGACGGAAGAGGAAGAAAGGAAATAAGCCCAAAAAAGAGGTCAGGGAAGCAAGCGCGCGCGCGCGTGTGTATGTGTGTGTGTGTGTGTGTGTGTGTGGCCTACCCAGGTGTGTGTGTGTGTGTGTGTGTGTGTGTGTGTGTGTGTGTGTGTGTAAGAGTGGCCTACCCAGGCTTACTCCGGGCCTGCAGGGATTGCTGACAGCTTCGGGGGACTGTGTCTGCAGTGCTGGGAATTGAACTTGGGTGGAGAAAGTCAAATGAAGTGCCCTTCTTGCTGTGCTCTTTCCAGCCCCTGCAGTGCTGCTTTAAAACTGTTTCTTCAGGTCTCAGTGAATAACAGTTACTCAAGATTGGGTTTCGGGCATACAGGGGTTCCACCCAAACCGCTTCACTGGTTCCCACTGCCTCCACCCGTGTCTTCCCTCCCCCCATCAGTGGCACCTTTCTCTTTGTTAAGATACTGTGTTTCACAGTAGTGTCACTGATGGGTGTCAAGCAAGTCACTGTTCTGCCCCCTTCCCTGACCTGTCTCCTCTCCACCCCCACTTCCCCGGTGTTCTTGATGAGTTCTTGTGCATGTTAACGTACTGAATCTGTACTGTAGAAAAACTGTTAACTCATTATTATTCTCAATACAATTTTTATTTTTTCTAATCAGAGTGTTGCTGTTTCCTGTTTAATAAACGTTGGTCCTTTTTTCTTTACCTTAACAGAATTTGAGGAGAATGTCTCCTGCAGAATTTTCAAATACGGAGCATTTGTACGAGTTTCATCCTCCAATTTGGATAACAGATACCACACTTCGAAAGTCTCCTTTTGTTCCTCAAATGGGGGATGAGGTGAGAGCGATGCGACTTAAAAGCACGAATATGGAACAACTTCTCAAAAACAAAATTGAGAGTATTCTTAAAAGTACTGAACTCTGTACTTCCCTTTTGTAGGTAATATATTTTCGACAGGGTCATGAAGCTTATATTGATGCAGTTAGAAAAAATAAGACTTACGAACTGAACCCTAATAAGGAACCTTGGAGAAAAATGGATCTTAGGGTAAGGTGATTATTAAGTTATTAAATGGTACTTGCGTTGTTTAAAAATCTATTTTAAGAATCCACTGAGATCTGGTTTATTATTGCCTTTCAGATTCATACTTAAGATCCTTTCTGTTACTATAAGTCGTAAGACCTAGTAGGTTGTAGCAACGTTGGTGAGCAGAGAAGGTATCCTGCGTAGTGAAATAAGGTTTTATTTACTATGGTGAATGTTGGTAGAGAAACCAAAGAAAAAAAGGTTTTATTGACAAATCAAGTTAAGTGTTACTAATGAAGGGAAGGTGAAATTGAGTAAAATAGGTCAGCTGTGTGGTATCGAATGGAATTGGACCTTCTGTGGTACCTTTTACTTAATTGTTGGTTTTGGTCCATACCCAGCAGTGTTCAGGGTATCACTCCTGCCAGGGATCAAATCCAGGTGGGCTGTGTGCAAGGCATGCGCCTCACCTGTTGTACTGTGACTCTGACCCTCTGTGGTGACTTTTCATACTCCGTAGTGTGGTACACTGATGCTCATTAGTCAAGAGGTGTGCCTGAAAAATCTGTAATGTCAGTTCCATTACTTAAAGAGTATTGGAAGACAGTTCCACTTGAGACTTCACATTTGTGCCTGGTCCATGTGATGGGTGTTCGCAAATTTAAACGCATTAGAGCTTTTTTAGGATAGCTTGACATACGTATGTGACTGGGGTCTGAGTTCCCAAAGAAAAATCACAAAGTGGTTTTTAATAAAATGTCGATGGCACTAGCTCAGATATAATAAAACCTAGATGACACCAGCTTCTCTATATTAACTGATTAGAAGATTTTTTTTTTTTTTTTAGTGAAGCAAGAGGTTTTTTTTTGCATGAATGGGGGGTAGGGGAAGAAAAAATCCACATGTACGAGAGAGAACATGACCTTAGAAGAATGAGTGAGCAGCCAAGTGTGAGAGATTTGTGATCAAGGACCAGCCAGAATTTAGTCTTTTCAACATTTTAAAATGCCACCTTGGAGGAAGTCCCGTGTTTTGGTGGTTAAAAGTTCTCAGTATTGTGATAGAGCAGTCTCGTCACTGTAGCGAGTCTGCCGACAACTGAAAATGAAGGCACTTACTTACACCTTTGAAATCGGTGATTTTATTGCAGCATTTAATGTATGGAAGTTCACAGGCTCTGCAGTTTATTCATGGGTATTACTGTTTATTTATATTATTATTTTTGGGGGGTGGGTATTTTGGACCACACTTGGCGGTGCTCAGGGGTTACTCCTTGCTTTGTGCTCAAGGATCACTCCTGACGGGGCACGGGGGACCATGTGGGGTGCTGAGGATCGAACCTGGGTCGGCTACATGCAAGGCAAGTGCTTTACCCACTGCTGTCACTTTGACCCCACTGGTTTTTAATTTTTGGGAGCCACTCTGGGCAGTGCTCAGGGGTCACGCCTAGATCTGCACTGAGGAATTACTCCTGCCGGTGCTCAGAGAACATGTGCAAGCCGGCGCCGTCCCTTACTCCTTTCCTACCTCTCCTGTTGCTGCGTGTAGTAAACACAAGGCCACTTGGAGAAGCCCAAGCACCCCACCATGCTGAATCACTGAGAACCTGTGCCCGCACTGCTGTGTACAGCCCCCAGCACAGCGGGGAGAGGGCGTCCAGGGCTGCAGTCTGTTCTGCCGGAGGCCCGGCTGCCCTCCAGCACCTCAGGGCTCCCCCGCACTCGGCTGTCTGTCGGCTCTGGCCCAGGCAAAGAACTTTGCTGCTGGAGGGATGGCTGTTTTACAATACATTACTGAAAGAAAAATGGGATGTGAATTGCTGTTGGCACTTAATGTGACTTAGGGACATGTCTCTAACACAAAATATTACATCATAGTGTCAGTGATTGTGCAGAAGAATTATTACAAGGAAGTTTTTTTTTTTTTAAAGAAGAGTTTGTGTGAGAGAGAGGAGAGAGAGAGAGCGAGAGAGAGCGAGAGCGAGCGAGCTGGTCAGGATGTTCTCCTGGGATGCTGGCGATAGAACTCGGCTTGACCCTGTGCAAGGCAAAGCGCCCTACCCACCCACCTTACCCGCTGTACTATTTCTCTGGTGATACTTTTTACATTAGAATTCTTGTTTTTGGGCCGCACCTGGTGGTGCTCTGGGGATACTCCTGGCGGGGAGTGATGGGGATGAAACCGGGTTGAGTGTGCGCGGCAGGTGCCCTGCTGACTTGTCTGTCTCTCCGGTCTGTTTCTTACTTGAGAAACAGCATGAAATGTCTTCAAAAATTGAGGGGATAAAAATGGACTTGTTTTTTTTTTCATTGAATTATTCTTGCTGGAAAAATGAACAAGTTTTAGCTCTGCGTAAAAAATGCCTGTAATTAAAGTTAAAGAGGATGCTGGTGAAAGCCTAAACGAACTTCACATAAGTTGGCAACATGTAAGGAATGAGTCTTCAAAAATCGCTTTACTTGAACAACTTAAAACTTTTCTTCTTTTAAACATGTTTATTAAAGGATCAAGAGTTGGTCAAAATAGTTGGAATTCGATATGAGGTTGGTCCCCCTACACTCTGTTGCCTCAAACTAGCGTTCATAGACCCAGCAACTGGAAAACTTGGGGACAAGTCTTTCTCCATTAGGTATGTATTTTTCTTTCAGTGAATGAGTTCCGCTTGGGTCTTGCATCTTAGATGCTGGTCAGCGTGCTTTCCCCCATGAGCTGCAGGGCGGTTCAAAGAAGAGTGCTGCGGGCAGCTTGAGGACCCCCGGGGCAGGAACCCAGGGAGCTCAGAACAGGCTTGCACCATCAACATGGAGGCAGTGGCCTATCGTGACCTTTTTCCATGCCATTTAAGTGTTTGGAGAATTCTGGCCTGTAGGGGGGAAGGCCTTCTGCTTTTCTTAATGAGAAAATGTAAGAATAATTTACTCAGCTTCTCCTTCTCCTCTAATAACCGTGAGCACTTAGTGTGGCCTAGAGGGCCGTATGAAATGTGGCTAGTTCCAGCCGGGAGTCACGAAAGTGGAAACAGGATTTTGAAGAAAGACCAAAATATCTATATCTAATTCATTGTATTATTTTGTGGTAAAACAATTAAGACACATTGAGTTGAATACAATAAATTTATTTGTTCCCTTTAGTCTTAGTTTTTTTTTTTTTTTTAATTATTTGTAGTGCTAGTGATTGAACCTTGGGCCTCATCCATGTCCTCTGCCACTGAGCTGCTCCTCTGGGCATTTTTTTTTAAATTTATTTTTTGGGTGACATTTAGGATGCTTAGGGGTTACTCCTGGCTCTGCACTCAGAAATTACTTCTGCCGGTGCTTAGGAGATGACAAGGGATACTGGGGATTGAATCTGGGTCGGCCGCTTGCAAGGCAAACTGCCCTCCCCGTTGTACTACTGCTCTGGCCCCTTTATTTTTATTTTTTAAGAAATTGAAAGGTTTATTGGAAAACAAAAGGGAGAAAAGGTGCCAGCGGGGGAGAAACTTGAGCAAGGACTAAGCTCTCATCTTTTTTTTTTTTTTTTTAAAGCACTGTTCTTTATTTAAAAAAAAATACTGTTTTTGGGTTTGTGGCCATGCCTGGTGTATTGCTGGGTATACCTCCTGGCAGAGTTTTATTTGGTTTTGCATGCAAGGCAAGAGCCTGGCCTGCTGTACTGTGTGTCCAGCCCGTTCCTGGCAGTACTGGGGGATCAGAACCAGGGCCGTGCCGCATGCAGATGTGGGCGCCCGCCTCTGAGCTACATCCCCAGCTAGGCGGATAATAAATGCTCTGTGTTTTCCTCCCAGTGCTGCATTTGTTTCATTTTTTGTTTATTAGGGCCACACCCAGGGGTACTCAGGCGTCACTCCTGACCCTGCACTCAGGAATCACTACCGGTGGACTTGGGTGACCATATGGGATGTCTGGGGAATCGAACCCAGCTTGGGGACATGCAGAAGAAGCCGCTGTACTATTGCCCTGTCCTTGCCATTGCATTTCTGTTTAACTGTTTTACTATTTAACCCTCTATTTTTTTGAAGGTACCATGACATGCCAGATGTCATTGACTTTCTTGTGTTGCGACAGTTTTATGATGAAGCAAGACAGAGAAATTGGAAGCCTAGTAAGTCTGTTTTTCTGAGAATTAAACTTCATCTTTTATTTCACTTTCCCTAATTTTTTGGTTGTATTGCTGCTTTGACGGTATATGCAAGCATATAAAATTTGGAAGGAAGAATTATAAATGACTATACATATATTTATGACATGTTTAGTAATGAATAACATTTAGAGGGGCTGGAGCAATAGCACCGCAGGAAGAGTGTTTGCCTTAGACATGGCCAACCCAAGTTCAATTCCCAGTATTCCATATGGTCCTCTGAGCACTGCCAGGGGTAATTCCTGAGTGCATAGTCAGGAGTAACCCCTGTGCCTTGCCAGGTGTGACCCAAAAAAGCAAAAAAAAAAAAAAAATTTTTTTTTAAAGGATTTATTTCTTACTAAGGACAAATTGAGAAGTTTAATGCCTTCTACCCTTTTGTAATCCTTTCCTGTACAGTATTATTTCTAGTATTACTCTGGCATAATTCACAGATTGTCTAATGATCTAAGACAATTTTAGACAACATTCTAAGACGAGGAGTATCACTGTATCACTGTCATCCTGTTGTTCATCGATTGCCTCGAGCAGGCACCAGTAACGTCTCCTTCATCCTTGCCCTGAGATTTTAGAAAGTGCCACATTTGAGGCTCTTTCAGGGTCAGGGGAATGAGACCCATCATTGTTACTGGTTTTTGGCATATTGAACACGCCACGGGGAGTTTACCAGACTGCCGTGTGGACAAGATACTTTCGGCAGCCTGCCAGGTTCTCCAGAGTAAGAATTAGACAAAAAGAGGTCACGCACTTCCGGGAGCTGGGTTTTTAAGTCTCTGGGACTTGGCTGTTGATGGGATTACATGGCGCCCCGGACAGTTGGTGGGTATAACGCCTACATACTGGAAGAAGGGGGTCTGGGTGGAGGAGTACCATGGAGATCGAGAAATAATGCAAAATTTTAATAATAATGTTATGGTGTACCAAGCCATATTTTACCTTTTGATCTCAGCACAAGCTTCAAGAGGGTGACTAAAAAACCATTTATTTAAAATAAAAAATTTCAGGGCCGGAGAGATAGTACAGGGGGTAGGGCAAATGCCCTTGTGTGTGGCTGACGAGTTCATCACTGGCAGCCCCTGTGGTTCCCTGAACCCACCAGGCATGATTCCTGAGTGCAGAGCCACGAGTCAGCTCTGATGGTGGCTGCGTGTGGCCCCCAAATAAACCAACAAATGCCCATGAGCTTGACGAGAGAAAGGGTGCGAGGAGCTCGGTGGAGCACCGCCCTGCCTGGAACGGGAGCGCAGGCTTTCTGGGGGCTCGTCTGCGCAGGTGGGCAGTGCTCCAGCCCCGGATCCCTGCTTCCAGCCCGGGCACGCTCAGCTAGCTGGCCTTTGGGGAGCCGTCCTGCTTTTGTTTCAGTCTCACTGGAAACATGAGCTTGGGCTAAATCATTTTGTGTACGCAGTCCTAAATGATGTTGACGTTAACCTCAGGGCCAGGGATGTGGTGTACAGATCAGAGTGGGTGCTTTGCATACATGTTTTTGGCTCTGAGCACTGACAACCGAGCGTGTTCCTAAAACAGAACAGAACAGACCATCCCACAAAGCCAGTGTTCATTCCTCAGGTTTTCTGTTGCCCTTTCCTATAGGCACGACCCCGGTTCTGTCTCCTGGCCCCCAAATAGACATGTTTCCTTTTGGGGTCACATCTGATGTTCCGAGGGGCCATTTGCAGTGGTCCAGGGGTTGAAGCTGGGGCTCCCTCATACATGCTTTCCAGCACCTGAGCGTGCTCTCCTGCCCCGAATGTACTTTTTTGAAAAGGGTGGGCTGATTGCAGAAAAAGTCTTCGAACCTTGTAGTCGTTTGTGTGTCTCTGGTAATTCCTGTAGAACAACGATAGCAGACCTCCTTAGAAATGAGTGTGGGAAGCATTTAGTAATGTATTCTAAAACGCCAGGGTTGACCTGATTTTTCCAGAGTTACTTGGGGTTGTATAGATAACTTCCTAAATGGTTAGCTCCAAGCCTGCCCTTTCATTTTCTGTGCTCTAGGAAGTGTTGCGTACTTGGTGAATGTGCATCTTGAATGTGCTTATCATGGCCTCATTGTCAAAAGTTTTGGAACTCTCAAAATTTTATTTTTTGCTTGCTTGAATAAATTCTTTGTTTTATGTTCCTTGTTTCATTATGTAATAGACCTTAATTTAGAATGGGCTTTTGGCTTTACCGAGCAGTAAAATCTGATCATAAGCCATGCTGGTCTCTCATGCCACTCGCTGAGTCCCTTCCGTCCATTGCTGTCATACCTTGTGTTGTTCCTCAAGGTACTGGAAAGTAGGGAAGGGTGACTCATTTCATAGTTGCATTTATCTCTTTTTTTTCTTTTCACTTTTATTAGTGAAACATCATGAGGTACAGTTGTAGACTTAAAAATTTTTGTGCTTGGGTCTCAGTTATACAATGATCAAGTACCCATCCCTTCACCAGTGCCCATTTCCCACCACCACGGAACCCAGTATCCCTCCCACCCCCCATCCCACCCTGCCTCTGTGGCATGGCATTCCCTTTTGGTCTCTTTCCTTTTGGGTGCTGTGGTTTGCAAAAGAGGCATTGAGTGGCAATCATGTTCGGTCTGCAGTCTACTTTCAGCATGCTTCTCCCATCCTGGGAGGATCCTCCCAACACCCTTTATTTGGTGCTCCCTTCTCTATCTGAGCTTCCTTTTCCTCTAGCATGTGTGGCTGGCCTCCAAGCCATGGAGCAAACCTCCTGGTACTAATCTCGGCCACTCTTGGGTGTTAGTCTCCTATTTTGGTTACGTTCATCTTTTAATTTTGTTTTCCTGTGTGTCACGTTGGTAAATCGATGTCTGAGGTGCTCTTCCCTCTTCCACAGGCGACAGGTTCCGCTCCATCATCGATGACGCGTGGTGGTTTGGAACGGTGCTGCGGCAGGAGCCGTTCCAGTCGCAGTACCCCGACAGTCACTTCCAGTGTTACGTGGTGAGGTCTGTATGCAGAGGGGAGTGACTCCGCGACAGACGCTTGGTCCCTGTGACCTGAGGTGAAACTCTGGCTCTGCGTCAGGTCGAGCCTGCTTGATCTCCAGTGTGCTTGGAGTTGCTCCTCCATGGTGGCACCTGGGTACAGGCGTGGCTTGTTCCCTGGGCCCGTCCATCGGCATCGCCGTCACGGCTCAGGAGCTGTGTGTAGTGCCACCCTCCCTTAGAACCTCCTTGCTCCTTGTCTAGGGCTGTAGAGTAGTCTGCTTTCTGAGATCTGGTCTCTTGAAAGATGTTCACTACCCCGGGGCTGAGGCCACGTGGGGTTCCTAGACTTGCTCTTGAACTTGCTGTCCTTTATTCGGGAGGGGGCTGAGGGCGTGGGGAGTTGTCCCAAGCACTGCCTGACTGTCCTTGCACTCTGGAGCCAGCTGCCTGGGGCCCTGTGGTGTCCTGTGGAGGCATTCCAGGGCAACAACCTGATGATGCTCAGGGACTGGGTGGGGGCGGGGGGCAACGGGGCGTGGAGCCATGTGAATTAGGCTGGGTGCGTGCCAAGCATGGGCCTCAACCCCATCTCTCCTGCCCTCTTGCCGTTTTTATAGTCCCTTCTTAGAATCTATTCTAGGGAAGTTTCTAATACTTAGAATTTTGATAACCAAGTGAATTTCTACATTTTAAATCTTTGCTTTTACTTGTGTAGTGGCTATGTAGTAATTATTGATAGTTCACGATCACGACCATCCTGTTATTCGTCGATTGCCTCGAGCAGGCCCCAGTAACATCTCCTTCGTCTGAGCCCTGAGATTTTTTTAAAGAGTGCCATATTCAAGGCTCTTTCAGGGTTAGGAGAATGAGACCCATCATTGTTACTGGTATTTGGCATATTGGGTACGCCACGGGGAGTTTGCCAGACTTTGCCGTGTGGGCAGGTTACATTCGGTAGCCTGCCAAGTTGTCCAAAGCAAGAATGAGATAATAAGATGTCGCACGGCCGCCAACGCAGCCGCGCGCTTCTGGGAACTGGGTTTTATAGTCTCTGAGTCTTGGCCATTGATGGGATTACATGGTGCCAGGAGGCCAGTTGGTGGATGTGACCCCCTGCCTACTGGAATTTGGAGGATCTGGGTGGAGGATGCTCAGCCCCGATATGAGCAGGCTTGGAGATCTCAGCCCCGGGACCCGCATGCTTTTGTTCCTCTGCGGGTACCTTCAGGCATGTGGAGAATGGTCTCAGCATGGTGGTGGCTGGTCCTGGAGGTCGTCGACTGCCGGAGCCCTGGTCGGGGCGGGGAGGAAAACTCAACCCGCTCCCCTCCAAGGGGCCCCAGCGAGGACAGCCAGGTGTGGGGGCAGGAGACTCTGCACTGTTCTCTTGCGGGAGCTGGGTTTTATAATCTCTGGGTCTTGGCTGTTGATGGGATTACACGGCGCCAGGGGACCAGTTGATAGTTCATCATTTGAAAATCTATTGAGACCTTTGTTTCCATTTTGACAGTTGGGACAATACTGAAACAGAAAAACTGAGCCCGTGGGACATGGAACCAATTCCTGATAATGGTATGTGATTGTCAAATAGTAGAAGTGTTTTTTTTATAAGACAGAAATAAAACATTTTGCATTTATGTTTAATATTTGATTCTACTAACATGGAATGTGTTCATTTGGGAATGTGGGATGCTAACTTTGAGCTTCACTAAGATAAGTCCTTAGGGGTATTTGTATTACTTATTTCTTGTCTTAAAATTCCCCATCTTTGTGGCTACTGTCACTTCATGAAAGGTTGAAATTCTGACCTTTTGTGTTGTATACCCTCCTCCTCCTCCCCCCTTTTTTTTGGGCCACACCCTATGTTCAGGGCTTCCTCCTGGCTCTGCATTTGGGGATACACCCAGACAACCCGCCTGCAAGGCAAAGTCCCTCCAGCCATACTCTCTTCTGGCCTTAGAATTTATCAAATCCTGATTACAGCTAGTTCTGTGCTTCTAAGCTGTTCATCATTGTTTTGACTGTAAAGGTAAATCAGAAAAAGTACTTTTTCCGAAGAAATTCTATATGTGGATGAGGCCTGTAGGCTTTTAGAAGAATTGTTCAAAAATCTTCAGGCAGATCAATTTGGGGTTGCATTACAGTCTTGGAAATGTATATTAAAATAATTCTAAAATGTTTTTGTACCTGATTTTGAGACATCTTTATCTTGGTTTCTGCTGACTGGCATTTCTCTTGTAGTTACAGATTTCTGGAAAATGGTCTCCAAATATATTTCCTTTTGTTCTTTATAAATTTCTACTTCTGTCAAACGTGATCACACTTTTTAACAATTTCAGTTAATATTAGGATTACCGAATGTTGAAAAAATAGTCACTGTCACTGTCCTTCTGTTATTCATCAATTTGTTCGAGTGGGCCCAGGAACGTCTCCATTGTGACACTTGTTACTGTGTTTGGTATACCGAATACATCACGGGGAGCTTGCCAGGCTTTGCCATGAGGGCGAGATATACAACTCTTATATACAACTGTTGTATACAAGTATACTCTTGGTAGCTTGCCGGGCTCCTCGAGAGGGGCGGAGGAATCGAACTCAGGTTGGCCAGGTTGGCCGCAGGCAAGGCAAACACCCTACCCGCTGTACTATAGCTCCAGCCCTGAAAAAGTAGTACAAAAAATTTTTGAATATCCGTTTTTTTCATATTACATTTTATGTGACTTTAGTGCAGTTACAGTCAGGAAGTCGCAGCATCCTGGCTGACCTGTCCGCCTTGGTCAGGTTTTGTCATGTCTCATCAGACATGGCTCTCTTGGCTGTGTCTCCTAGACTCCTCATCCATGCTCTTCTAGCTCTTTGCATTATCTTCCAGGACCTGCTATGTTTTAGTAATGAGTACTGGCCAGTAGGATTACAGAAAGGTTCTTGGTTGGGTGGAGGATTTGCATTTTCCAGTCAAAGAATTGTTATCTTAAGAGTATCATCTCAGGATATATTTGGCAAGATGTTTAAATTCCAGGTCTCCCCTTCTACCTCCCGCCTTCCCTGTCTCCTCCTTGTGTTTTGGGCTATCCCCGGCTCTGCGTTTTTTGGCAGGCCTCCCACATTGTCCTGGGGAAGGGGAAAGGCCCGGCCCCTGCTTGTAAGGCTGCCCTCAACTCTTTGGGCTCTCTCTCGGCCTCTGCCGGGCTCTTCTCTATAAAGTGCTACTTTCTGTTGTTTATGAACTGTAACAGTTGAATATGGTAGATGTAATTTGATTTTTCTTCCCTTTTTTTTTTCTTTTTTATAACAAAATTTAACATTCGTAGTTGAACCTCCTGAAGAAGTAGGAGCTAGTATATCTGTCACTTCAGATGAGCTAGAGAAATTGCTCTACAAGCCACAGGATGGTGAATGGGGGCTGAAATCGAGAGATGAAGAATGTGAGCGGATCATAAGTGGTATCGATCAGCTTTTGAACATGGGTAAGTTCTTTTTAGCGAAAAGTCTCATGTTGATGTTTTCTTGTTTTTCTGTTCTCTTCATTGCTGCTCTTACGGCTGGGTTGTGAGTGTGTGGTGGTGCTGGCTGGGGTTGGACTCAAGTGTAGTGCCCGCCTAGTGCCCTTACCCTGCCCTCCCGTGCCCATGCAGCGCCCACGGGCCTGTGCTCCTGGCCACAGTCCTCGCGCGTCTCTTTGTTGTGTGCTTGGCCATAGGGGGCTTTGTGCCGGAGAGCTGTTGCTCGTTCTCAGTGCGGGTTCGTGGGCGGCCGGGCTACTGGGCTCCCAGCTGGCACCTCTGGGCAGCACTGGCGTTGAGCAGCTCCTCTGAGCCCTGAGCCACTGTCCAGACCCGCAGCATGCTTCAGTTTCCCCTAGCACTTGATTTGCTTTTGTTGTTGTAGTTGATGCCTTTTTTTTTTTTGCCTCTCAGGTGGTGCTTGGGGACTATTCTCTGTGCTCAGAAATCTTACTCCTGGTGGGATTTGGGGTGGGTTATATATAGTGCCGGGGATTGATTCAGGTTCGGTCGCCTGCATGGCAAGTGTTTGAATTAACATTGTACTATTTCTCTGGCCTCCAAAGTAACTTAAAATGGTGTAATTGTGGTTATAATCTTCAGTCTTCCCTCCCTCCCTCCCTTTCCTCCTTTTCTCCTTTTCACTGTACTTTTATGTTGCCATCTGCAATGTTAAAAATAGTCCTTATTCTTGGGATGGTGTGTGGAGAAATAATTTGTAGAGACAGACTCTTTAGGCGAGGTCTTCTCTCTCCCCTTCCAGATATAGCAGCAGCATTTGCAGGACCAGTCGATCTCTGTACGTACCCAAAGTACTGTACGGTAGTCGCCTACCCGACTGACCTCTACACCATTCGAATGAGACTTGTGAATCGCTTTTACAGGTGAGAGCTGTCTGGCCAGACTTAGAGTTGGCCCAGCTGTGGTGACTGATGGTGAGAGCAGTGGACTGGGAGTTCGTTGAGATCATTTTCTGTTTATTTTTTTTTTCTTTATTTTTGCCGGGAGAGGAGGACACACCCAGCGATGCTCCCGGGTTATTCCTGGCAGGCTGGTGGAACCATATGGTATGCCAGGGATAGAACCCGCATCAGCTGTGTGCAAGGCAAGCATCCTGCCTGCTGTCCTGTGGCTCCCGCCCTGTTTAACCTTTCTTTAGAGCTGTTTCGTGGTCTTGTCTGCTGGACTTTGTGGGTGGATGAGCAGATACAGAAAAACCAGATAAGATCATGTTTCATTCCTTAACTGTTCAACGTTAACTCAGAAAATATGGGAAGTGGTTAGGTCTTGTAATCACCAATAGTCATTACATACATATCATCAGGCATTGTATTTGTTTAATATGTTAATTCTGTGTAGCTGTTGTACTTTAGAACTAATTTTATTTGATGATTTGTCTTTGAAAGATGGTTTTCCATAGCCACTTTGTTTATGGGGTGGGGTGTTTGGGTTCCACCTGTCAGCCCTCAGTATAAACCTCCTGGTCCTGTGATGAAGAGCTGCTCCTGGCAAGGCTCAGGGCATCCTACGTGCTGGGGAATGAACCAGATCACCCACCTGCAAGGCTGAAGCCTTAATCCATGTATTTCTCAGCCCTAATTATCCCCTTCCTTTTTATTTTTTGTTATAAATCTTTGGGTTCTACAGAACATGGAACACTTTGGTTTTATTTGCTAAGGGTTTTTTTTTTTTTTTTTGAAAACATCAGGCAGTGCTCAGGGCTTACTCCTGGCTCTATGCTCAAGGATCATTCCTGACAATGATTAGGGGACTACAGGGGATGCTGAGTTGGTTGTGTGCAAGTACGCGCTGTACTCTCTCCAGCCCCAATAATTTTTGTTCTGTTTTGTACATCAGTTACTTATTTATTTTGCTTTTTGGGTCACACCCAGAAATGCTCAGGGGTTACTTCTGTCTCTGCACTCAGGAATTACTCCTGGCGATGCTCAGGGGACCATATGGGATGCCGGGGATTGAACCCGGGTCCACTACGTGCAAGGCAAACGCCTTCCCTACTGCACCATCGCTCCAGCCTCAAAAATTTTTTTTAAGGATTTTTTTCTAACATTTCGGCTAGTAGTAAAAATGCCATTATATGAGACTGGCTTCTTTTTTTAATTTCCCTTTATTGCTGTTGTTTTGTGTCTCTTTTTGGTGTTTGGGTCACATCTGGCAGTACTCAGGGCGTACTCACAGAGATCACTTATGGTGGATACAGAGGGGACCATCTGGGATGTCGGGGATTGGACCTTTGTTGGCCCATGGCCACTGTACAATTGTACTGGCCCCTGAAACAGGCTTTTGACTGCATAGTGTTGGTGCAGTTCATCATGGAGAATGTGCGTTTGTCCAAAAAATACTCTGCCAGTTTCATGCTCCAAAAAGTTCATTGATAGTTTCCCCTGTCCGGGTTCAGGCCCCGTGAGACAGTGGGGCTGGGGAGGGTTGCTCCGCTGGGCTTTCTCTGTGATGAGCTGAGTTGTAGGGATGCTTGGCCCTTGAATTCTCTGCACTTCAGTGCGTATTAGATTTGCTGATTTGAGTGGGGCTGGAGAAGGGGCTGATGGAGAGACTCCAAAGCAGTGCTCCATGACCCATAGCCAACTCCTGCAATGTTGACCAATTGGGTTGGACCGCACACTATTCCGGCCTGTCGCAGTGGTGGTTTTTGGACCACACGGTGCTGGGCACCCATGAGGGCCGAGTCTGACAGTGCTTGCGAGGCTGCAGTATCGGGGATTGTACTTGGATCCGTTTTCTTTCAAGACACACGCCACAGACTGACCTCTGCGGGCCCCAGATTTGCTTCTGAGAGCATTAGAAGTTGACTCGTTGCAATTTTTTGCTGTGACTTTATTAGATCATGCTGACTTAATAGACTAGATTTTTTTCGTTTAACTTTTATCGTTTCATTTTTTAAACCCTAAATTTTCTGCTTTTATTTTTGAAGGAGATTATCTGCATTAGTCTGGGAAGTCAGATACATAGAACATAATGCCAGGACATTCAATGAACCTGGGAGTGTTATTGCAAGGTCAGCTAAGAAGATAACTGATCAACTTTTAAAATTTATCAAGTAAGTGACCGCCTATTTACAAATTACGGGAAAATGCCTTTGAGGTTGTGATTATGTGTCCATCCAGACAGTTGTAATTTCCTGGATTATACCCTCTAGTTTGGTCTTCAGCCAGTTTCTTTACATTGTTAAAATTATTTCAGTAAAGGTATGAGTACTTGACCCATTTAATATTTTCTTCTTTTTAAAGGTTTAAAATTGTACATTGAAATTTTCAAGAATTTCTCCCTTTATACATGAATCTTTTACTTGGTTTCTCCTTAGGTTAACATTTATAACTGTTCTTATGAAATGTTGAATTTTCCTTGGTACAATATTACTGGGTGGAGCGATAGCACAGCAGTAGGGTGGTTGCCTTGCACACAGCCAGCCCGGCCGAGCCAGGTTCGATTCCTCCACCCCTCTTGGAGAGCCCAGCAAGCTACCAAGAGTATTGCCTGGCAAGCTCCCCTTCACGTATTTGATAGGCCAAACACAGTAAGAAAAAGTCTCACGATGGAGACGTTATTGGGCCCGCTCCAGCAAATCGATGAGATGAACAACGGGAAGACAGTGCTCCAGTGCTACAGTATTACTAAGCATGTTCTCCTGGCGTTGGGTGTGGTATTTTTTTTTACTGTGTCAGTAATCAGTCCAGATTCCCATTCATTTTATAGGTGTGTGTTTATGTGGGGTGGCGGGGGGCACCTTGCTTCTGACTCTGCTCAGGGCTCATTCCTGGGAAGACTGGGGGACTATATGTGGTGCTGGGAGTTGAACCTGGTTTAGCTGTGTACAAAACAAGTGCCGTGTCTGCTGTATTCTCTCTCAGATGCCTCTTTATCTCTTAATCTCTCCCACATAATCTCAGCAGTTTTTCTTTTTTGGAGGGAGGGGATAAGTGTGAAGACTCTTCGGCTGTATCCTTCGGATTTTTTCTGATGTTTTCTCTTAATTAGATTGAGTTTTGTTCAGTCTGTTTTGGAGTTTTGCCCTGGAAGAGTATTTGCATAGTTTGTGTACTTTCTTACGTTGAAAAATCAGTTTTAGCGAGTAGTAGGATGAAAGCTGATTTGGAAATTGAGCTCCAAGCTCTAGCCTTCTCTCTCCTAGTGAACATTCTCTGTGTGACCTGGACCTTGGACAGATTACTTAGATTGTTTCCTTTATAAATTAATGCTTTGTTATATATATGTCCTTCTCTGAAGCTGTGAAAGTTACCTGAAAGAATCATACTATAATGAAGACAGTTCTTCAACTTCAAAAAACAAAACAAAACATTTGTTGCAAATAAAGCGTATCTCCAGATCGCTTGGCTGCAGGCTTGTTCTCCCTTTAGTCTGAGTATCATTTTCATCTCCTTCAGATTTTTTTTTTCTTTTGTGTGTTCAATGAAGATAGAATTTTCTTTTTCTTTCTTTTCTTTTTTTTTTTTTTTTTTTTTTTTTGCTTTTTGGGTCACACCCGGCGATGCTCAGGAGTTACTCCTGGCTTTGCACTCAGGAATCACTCCTGGCGGTGCTCGGGGGACCATATGGGATGCTGGGAATCGAACCCGGGTCGGCCGCGTGCAAGGCAAATACCCTACCTGCTGTGCTATTGCTCCAGCCCCTCGTTTCTTTTTTAAAAATCATCTTTGTTCTCTTTGTTCTACCTCATAGCAACCATTCTTGATACATAACAAGAGTTATTAGGAAAAAAAACCCATCTGAAAATTCATCCAAATAAAGCCATAAGCTTTAACATAAGCTATTAGTATGTTTCTGCTTATTTTCATTATGTACTTTAACTGGAAAGAAAACTCCTAAAATCTAAGACAGGCCCTTTTTTTCTTTTTCTGCAGAGGGGATGGATAAAAAGCCTATATCCCTCTTGAAGTGTTCACTATATGTAGATGATTGGTTTGACTCTCCTGCACAACTGATTCTTATTTTACAGGAATCAAGATTGTACAAACATCTCAGAACTTTCTAACACCTCTGAAAATGATGAGCAAAATGCTGAGGACTTGGTAAGAAGTATTAAAATTTTTCTGAGTTTTGTTCACTTCAAAAGGCAACTTAAATAAGTAGAGGATCGGGAAGATGGTGCTGGGGGCTGCAGCACATGTGGGAGACCTGGATCGGAGACCTGGGCCAGTCCCACACTCTGCTAGACGTGCCTAGGAAAGGGAGAGGGGGCTCCGGCCATGAAGGATGGCACTGAACATGTACCCCATGTCCGGTCCCAGCACCGCACAGTCCCTTTGCTGTTGAGTGTAGCCCAGAAACCAAAGAAAACGTTCCAAAAATGTAGACCTGAAGATTTGGCAATTCGCATCACTTTTTTTTTTTTTTTTTTTTTTTGCTTTTTTGGGTCAAACCCGGCAATGCACAGGGTTTACTTCTGGCTCTGCACTCAGGAGTCACCCCTGGCGGTGCTCAGGGGGACCATGTGAGATGCTGGGAATTGAACCCAGGCCAGCTGTGTGCAAGGCAAACGCCCTACCTGCTTTGCTGTCACTCCAGCCCCCTGCATCTAAATTTTAATTAAATTTTTTTCTTGGAGGGGGCGTGTTGGGCCACCTCTTGTGATGCTTGGGCCTAAAACAAACCAGAGAAAAGCATTGACTAAGGTGTAAGATACAATCTTGTTTTTTTTTCTAGATTTTAGAAATAATTATATTCAGAACGGTATTGGAAGTATTTTTGTTAGATTTCACCGAGTGTTGGATTCCATCGTAATTCAAAATGAATTTTGCCATGTATAGAATATTATGAAGTGCTTCACTCTAGCTGGTATTGAAGTTGAAGTGCACATATGGGCTAGTGGTCTTGTGGAGTTTCAGTTCAGACAGGGTGAGACTGTCCTGTGGAATGTAGGAAGGAGAGTCTTGAAAAAAAGTTGCGTCAGTTTCTATACCCATTCGTAGTTCACTGCATTTCTTGCTAATTATGTATATATGTAAGACACATGTCAATAGAAATGGGTATGTTGGCATGTGATTTAGGCAACAGGATAATGTCTAGAGTATGGAATCTTGAAACTGATTTTTTTCTTGTTTGTTTGACTGTTCTGATGTCGTCCTGTTTGTAAACTTGCCAATGTGTAGTCTCATCATAGTGTGTGCCCTGCCTGTTGCTGCACACCATAGGCACAGTTGTGCAGGAGACGCCCTCGCTCTGTGGGGGTTACTGAGTGCTCAGGTGTGCAGGAAGGGAAAGGGCCACAGAAGGAGCCGGGAGGCCGCACAGCGGGGGTGGGGCTCACTTCACATGCGGCTGGTACGGGGCCTGGAGCGGACACAAAGGCTGCACTTGGGGTGACCCGCCACAGAAATCATGAGTGTCCGCTGAATTTTGTTAGTCATTCATTGGACTCCTAAAATCTGATTTCTTCGATAGGGATTTTATTGCTCTTCATATTTCTGATAGGATTTTGACACTACGGTCTCTGGTTTTCATTTCTAGGATGACAGTGATCTCCCTAAAACATCTTCTGGAAGAAGGAGAGTAAGTTAATCGTGAATCAGCCTGCTTTACCTCTGTTATATAGTCATTTTTTTAAAATTTTATTTATTTTTTGGTTAAATTTATTGAATCACCGCGAGAAAAGTCTTGGATTTCTGATATTTCACTAATTAAGTCTGGAGGGATTTCTGCCAAAAGCTGGATAATTACGAGATTGGTTTGTGTGCCTCTGGTGCCGTGGCTGTGTGTGTGTGTGTGGGGGGGGGCGCAGCTCATGGCCTCCCCATCCCATGAGGCTGCAGTTGCCCTGTCACCGCTGGCTCATACCTGTTTGTCCAATAAGCTCTGAGGCGGTAGCCACCATGCTACGGGTGGGGGTGGGGGGGGCGGTGGAAGAGAGACACACCCTTTCCCTCGGGGGTGGGGGGCGTGGGGGGGCGTAGTGCAGTAGTTTGTCTTATAGGCCATTCACATTTCTTCCGCAAGCTGCTGGGCTCTGGATTAGGCCCGTGTACCTCTGGTGCCATGGCCGTGCTGGAGAGCCACTCATGGGAGGGGCCTGTGGTTTAGTCTTCATTTTGAAATCAACCTAAGAGTTTAGGTGTTGTATTCATAAACATAACATTTTAAACAAGAAATGGGAGAGAGAAGGTTTAGTGGAAGAGTTGGAACTTGAACTGTTCTAAGAATGAGATCAGGAGAAAAGCGAAGAATTAGAAAACTAGAATGTTACTAATCATGCCGAAACGGAACTGAGGTTAACAGTGGATTTGTGATGGCCCCTGCCTTCCTCTGTAGAGACATGAGGTGAGGTTAGCATGACCAATGCTGGTGTCTGCCTGTTATTTTGGGCAATGATGGTGGTTTTAGTGAAAATTAAAGGTTTACTTAAATTTTTAGTTCAGATCATTGACTGTAGAGCTGAAATAGGTACATAGCTTTTGAAGGGATAAAGGATGAGGCATTAAAATGGGGTGAGTTCGGAGTTGAGTATCAGAAGGAAGGATGGGAACCATGGCAGAGATGCTGTGTGCTTGGGACAAACAAGGTGGGATCTGCAAAGTGTGGGGGGCAACTTGGCCAAAATTTGGTCCCTAAGCCTAATGGGCACTTGGACTGGGAGGTTAACGATGCCTCTTGAAGTCCTAATGTAATATGTTAAAGATTCCTCATTTGAGTAAAGTAAGTAAAGTAAAGGCCCTCCCGTTGATCATTGATTTGCTCGAGCGGGCCCAGTAACGTCTCCATTGGAGACTTTGTTGTTTCTGTGTCTGGCATATCGAATACTCTCGGTAGCTTGCCGGGCTCTCCGAGAGGGGCGGAGGAATCGAACTCGGGTCGGCCATGTTGGCTGCGTGCAAGGCAGACGCCCTACCCGCTGTGCAAATGCCTAGAAATGTGAGCATTTAAAATCTCATCTGATTGGGGGCTAGAGTGATAGCACAGCGGGTAGGGCGTTTGCCTTGCATGCCGCCGACCCGGGTTCAATTCCCAGCATCCATATGGTCCCCTGAGCACCACCAGGAGTAACTCCTGAGTGCAGAGCCAGGAGTAACCCCTGTGCATTGCCCGGTGTGACCCAAAAAGCAAAAAAAAAAAAATCTGATTATTCTTTAAACTCTTTACATTTTTCACGTTTTTCTAGTAAGCATACATGCCTTAGCTTTGGGGAGTGACCTCAGCGAATTCTTTCCTTGCACGAACACACTGTGTCTCCCATAGCGAACCACAGTCAGCGGAGCTCTGCTCCCTGTGACTCTGGGACCGCCTGCATGGCAGGTGGCCTTTTGGCAGTGTTTGTTGCTGTTCCATGTTCCCGCGCGGCTGAGCCACCACCATGTCATTTTCCAGTCGGGTCCTGGGTCTTCTTGGAAGGAGCTTCTGTCTGCACTGGGACCATCTCGGCCGTGTCTGGAGTCAGGTCTCTGGGGGCCTTGTGCTTTGTTACGGCCACAGGGACTTGGAGTTAGAGTGTAGACTGTTACTCTCCCGTCCCGTTTTCCAATGTGAGATTTTATATCTTGTGAAAGCTTTTTTTTGGGGGGGGGGTAGGTCACACCCAGTGATGCACAGGGATTACTCCTGGGTTTGCACTCAGGAATTACTCCTGGCGGTGCTCAGGGGACCACATGGGATACTGGGAATCAAACCCGGGTCGGCCACTTGCAAGGCAAACGCCCTACCCGCTGTGCTATTGCTCCAGCCCCATGAAAGCATTTTCTAAACTGGAAAAGACATGGTAGAAAAAAAAAGAATATGATAGAGTAATAAATGTGACCTTTTTTTTTAACATAGAAAAAGTGCGTTTTCCCCTAAGTAGCTAAAAAAATCTCAAGTAGCCACTTTCTTTTATCATGATAGAGAAAACAACTCAGATTCTTGTTTTCTTGGCTTTAACAGTGTGACATTTCCTGAGGCTGGAAAAGCTTTCATACTACTAAATGTATTTTTAGGTCCGTGATTGGAATAGAAGAAACATCAAAGCATCCAACTATATTGAAAATAACTGGAAGAGACAGTGTAAGGAACTTGTGAACTTAATATTTCAGTGCGAAGATTCCGAACCATTTAGACAACCTGTTGATTTGGTTGAATATCCAGTAAGTTACCAGTGTTTGAGTCTTTTTGATTTGTGGAGAAGAGATTGTTGGGTTAGGGTTATTGAAACTTGTTGAAAAAGATGTTGAGGGTTAATGTTAACTCCCCTCTTGCCACTAAGTTAACAGTAGAAAAAATAATTTTGCAGTTTCCTTAAATTTATAGACAACTCTGGTAATAACTCATTGAACTAATACATTTAGCCAATATATAAAAATGGATAAGTGGGATAAAAGTGTACCTGCTCCTCTAATGGGACTTGAAAATGAGATTTCTATTTAAGATTATAAAGTATAAATTTACTGTAGAATGCCTGGACAAACCAACATAAAGAGGGTAATAAAGTTAGTTTCATATGCTTCTGCTCCATGTAACATTTGGTATAGTTTTTTCTTCCTTATCTGAGTGTGTGGGGACCTTTAAAAATATTCTAGGAATCCTTCTCTTGACCATCTTTTAGAATTTTGAGGTATTTACATTTTGAAGAGCAGGAGTTGAATCTTTAATTCTGTTTTTCAAATCTAGGACTATCGAGATATCATAGATACTCCAATGGATTTTGGAACAGTACGGGAAACTTTAGAAGCCGGAAATTACGACAGCCCCTTGGAGTTTTGCAAAGATATTAGGTTGATATTTACCAACGCGAAAGCATATACACCAAACAAAAGATCAAAGGTAATTATAAAAGGGATGTATGTATTAGTGTAGATGACAGCCGACTACTTTCTGGTTAGAGGTTGAAATATGAGAGTGGGTAAATGAAGCTATCGGAGGCGATTTCTGCCACTGCCCACTTCAGAACTAATATTACAAGAGCTGAAGCGGGATTTTTCTTAGGGATTTCTCAGGGTTTTTTTTTTTTTTTCTAGCTAGCTTACTATACTGTAAGACTTTAGTATGAAATATAACCTACAAAGTATGCATTGATTGACTTTCCAGTAGGGTCTCCAGTCACAGCAGGTTATTAGTAAAGTTTTGGGGGAGTCAGAAGAAGGTCGCATGGAAGACCAGAAGCCTTAGTACAGTGGGTGAGCTTCTGGTCTTGCACGTGGCCAGCCTGGATTCATGCCCTGCAACTCCATGTGTCCCCTGTGCTCAGTCAGGAGTGATCCCCCGAGCAGAGAGCCAGAAGTAAGCCCTGAGCCATGGATGGTGCCCCTCCATGGGTTTTCACCTAAGGATTCAGTGGTGTAATGGTCTGCAAGTAACCTTATTAATTACCGTATTTCATGGAATAATCACTGCAGGTTTTGCGCCAAAGTGTTTTGGGCAAAAAAGTAGAGTTGTGATCATTACGAGAAGATTCAAAAATTGTGTTGGCATAACTACAAATATGGTCTATGATATTATGCAGTAGTGAGAATGATATGGTGTGCTTTTTGTGGATAATATTTTAAAAGATAAGTTTTACCCAGTAAGACGGGGGTGAGAGGGATACTGGGATCCGTGGTGGTGGGAAATGGGCACTGGTGGAGGGATGGGTATTTGATCATTGTATAATTGAAACCCAAGCACAAAAATTTGTAAGTCTACAACTGTACCTCATGATGTCTCACTAATAAAAAAAAACACATTAAAAAAAATAGTCAATTTTAGGATAAAAGAAAAAGATAAGTTTTGTAGTTCTAAGTTTTGGTATTCATATCCTTGCAGATTTACAGTATGACCTTGAGATTGTCTGCCTTATTTGAAGAAAAAATGAAGAAAATCTCTTATGATTTTAAAATTGGTCAAAAATTCAATGAAAAACTTCGAAGAAGCCAGAGGTTCAAGAGAAGACAAAATTGTAACCGTGTCTATAAAGCTAACCAAAGTATCAGGTGAATTGGTTATTGCTCTTTACTTTTTTGCTAAAAGTATTGAAAAAGAGTAGTGTTGGTTTATGGCCTGAAAGCATGTTTTTTAAGGCTTAAATTGTGTGTGTGGACCTAAATTTCTAAGCATTAGATTGCTTTCTCCTCAGTTACATCTTAATGCATTATGTTTTGTGTAAAGCTCTCTCTCTCTCTCTTTCTCTCTCTCTCTCTCTCTCTCTCTCTCTCTCTCTCTCTGCCCCTCCTCCCTCTCCCTCCCTCCCTTAAATCGGGAGGGGAGCTGTTGCTCACTGGTGTGCTTGAGGGACTGCCGTGCCAGGGATCCAACTCCGGGATCTGCTGTGCAGAGACGTCCTCTCCCTTTGAACATCTATCTCCCTGGCCATGTCATTGAGAGCCGTGCTGGCAGGGCCTCTGTGCTTGCCTGCAAGGTGGTCACCCTCTCACTGGGCCCTCCCTGAGCTGTCCAGGGGGGATCACCCCTGAGTACAGATCCCCTGAGTAACGAGGAGGAAGCCCTGAGCCCAGCTAGGTGTGACCAACCCAAAAACGAAACCAAAAAAGGGTGGGTGGTTGGGTGGGGGGAGTTTGATCATTGCGAGCTGATCATTATTGTTTACGTGATCAGTGTCAGCAGATCGGTCTGCCTTCCATTTTATAGTAATGAAACCAGAATTTCCGTATAGCTTGAAATTTTTTTTGTTCGTTTGGTTTTTGGGCCACATTTGTTGGTGTCCAGGGGTTACTCGGTGGCTCTGTCCTTGGGAATCACTCCTGGCATGTTTGAGGGACCATATGAGGTGCCAGTGCTCAAACCTGGGTAGGCTACGTGCAAGGTAAACACTCCCCGCTTTACTATCTCTCTGGCTCACAAAACATTTAGCCTCTTCTCATCCCTTTTTTGCCTTTCTGTTCTTTCACCTGAAGTTTTGGTGGTTTCTCCTTTCATTTTATACTATCTTCAGGAACATACGAATGTGAGGAATTGCATCATTGATATTCAAGTGATAATATGAGTTGAATGCTTGGCTCTCTTAACCTTGAGTCTAAAGACCTTAAGACACTTAGTGAGATTCTTCGTAGTTTTTGTTGTGGGTTATCTATTCTTTAGAATAAAATGATTTCAGATACGCTATCAGACAAAAGGAACTAACCCATGAAGAATGAGATGAATATTTTAATACCTTGTTTTAAATTCTCTCTCTCTTTAAGAAATTCTGGCATATCGAATACTCTCGGTAGCTTGCCGGGCTCTCCAAGAGGGGCGGAGGAATCGAACTCGGGTCGGCCATGTTGGCTGCGTGTAAGGCGAACGCCCTACCCACTGTGCTTTCGATATGCCAGACACAGTAACAACAAAGTCTCCAATGGAGACGTTACTGGGCCCGCTCGAGCAAATCGACGATCAACGGGAGGGCCTTTACCTTTACCTTTTAAGAAATTAATACCTTTTAGGCATTTTCTTTGAACTATGGTATTCTTTATGCCTTAATAAATGCTACTTCCTTTGTTCAATTCTTTGATCAGAAATAACAGGCAGAAGCGGCCAAAATCTCAGGCAAAAGTAATTCCTGAGCTGGTAGGTTCCCCCACAGCGTCTACCTCAAGCCGGGCAGCGTACTCTGCAAATCACGGGACAGATGCCTCTTCAGGCGTTGCTTCCGACTCGTCAGACTCCGTCGGGTCCTCTGAAAGAGTGAGAAGAAGTCGACCTGCCCCGCTGACAAATGGGTCTCTGTTGTCAGGTGAGAGTGGGGTGCTGCGGACACACACCGAGATGGTGACTGTCGAGGCACTTGGCGTGTCGGGGGTGGGGGGGAGAGGAGAGGCCAGGAGGAACCAGAATATCTGCAGTCACCACTGTTCTTCGCAAGCGATGCAATCACTTTTGATGAATATTTGAATCCTCCAAATCCTGTGTGATTTCACTGAATTTGGCAATATTTAGTTTAAAAAAAAAATTCTGGGGCTGGAGTGATAGCACAGAGGGTAGGGCGTTTGCCTTGCATGCAGCCCGACCCGGGTTCAATTCCCAGCATCCCATATGGTCCCCTGAGCACGGCCAGGAGTAGTTCCTGAATGCATGAACCAGGAGTAGCCCCTGAGCATTGCCGGGTGCGACCCAAAAAGCAAAAAAAAAAAAAAAATTCTTGGACAAAAGGACATGGACATGGTAGACATTACTTTCAAAGCTGACGGTCTGGCTAGATGGACAGTAGTCCAGAAGAGGACGGTGCCAGTGGCGGAGCACCTGGGCAGCCGTGTCCAGCCAGGCCCGCCCACTCCTTGGGGAGAACGGGCTTGTTGTTCTGGAACCTCGTTCCTCCTCGTTCTCACCAAGCTGGGCTCAGGCACAGCCGGGGTCTAGGGAACAGGGAGTTCAGGCTGTCTGTTGCTTGTGCTGAGACTGGGACACCCCTCCATTAACTCCTGGGAGAAATGCTAGCCCCCTTCACCTGCTCTCCCCCAGCGGTGCATGGAAAGCACAGCAGAGCCAGGAGTAAGCACTGCAGGTATGCGCTGCCCCCCCCCCCCCCCCCAGCCCACTGGGGGAAAGAAAAGTATAGGTGCTGAGATGCAGAACTTGAAGTAGATTGTAGGGTTGATCTCGCCCGCGGCACCGCCGCCCCCGTTTAATTGGTGTACCATGATTTACGGTATGTCAGTGATAGTGTCTTGTCAAATACATCATTCCAAAGACACACCCAGCACCAGAATTGAAGCTAACAAAATGAATCCTGTCTTCTGAATTTAAACCAGGATTTGTAATTTGTTTTCAGAGTAAGTGAGGATGCCTCAGAATGCCAGACATGGAGCTGGAGAGAGAAGACAGGGAGGGCACCTGCCTGGCAGGCGGCCAGCTCAGGTTTCATCTCTGGACCCTTGGCTGGCCCCCAGAGCACCACCAGGAGTGATCCCTGAGCATTCCCAGGCTCTCCCTCCAGTAAAACTCAAAACCCAACAGAAGGCCGAATATGTGCCTTTAATTCCCAAATCTTAGCTGTTGTTGGAAGTGGTGTGTGTAGATTGTCCAAGTGTGGCCCTGTGGCCCTGCTGAGAACCTCTCTCTCTCCTGCAGCATCCGAAAGTTCGGAGGAAAGCCCCGAGGGCGCGCGGGCCTGCGAGTCCTCTAGGAGCAGCCGCCTCCGGATGACCAGAACCCGAGCCGCCCAGAGGACCTCGGGGAGGAGACCCGGGGGTATGTGGACTGCTGATTGCCGGGGGCTGCTGGGCTGTGGGGACAAGGGGCACAGGGAGCAGAGAGAGGATGAGGAAAGCCCTGACAGCACCGCGAAGAGGAATGGACGGGCCTCCGGGCTTGGCAGGGCCCTTGCTGGCCGCTCCGCAGTGTCTGCAAGAGACTAGTGTTAGGTTTGGCGAGTTTAGAGTGAGTCTGAAAGTGAAAAACAAGGAGCGTTAGGGTTAAAGAGAGTTAAAATAACCTTTTACAAAAAGAAAACACATGGGGCTGGAGCGATAGCACAGCGGGTAGGGCATTTGCCTTGCAAGCGGCCAACCCGGGTTCGATTCCCAGCATCCCATATGGTCCCCCGAGCACCGCCAGGAGTAATTCCTGTGCATTGCCGTGGGAGATACAAAAAAAAAAAACCTAAAAAAAGAAAACACAAAAGAATATGGTCATTAAAACTTTTTTGTATGTGTGTTGGGGAGGGGGCATAGGGTTGGAGGGATTGTGGTCTCCAGGGGATGGGCCTTCCAGGCAGTGACTGTCCATCTAGGCTGGTGGGTGGCTTAGTGCCGTTGGGCTCTGTGGGAACAGTGCTTGCCTAGGCCACCCTGTTGGTGTTCTGCCAAGTCAGTCAATTTCTCCCTCTCCCTCTCCCTCTTTGTCTCTCCCCTCTCTTCCCCCCTCATTCCCTCTCTCTCTCCCTCTCATTCCCTCTTTCTCTCCCTCTTCTCCCTCCCCCCTCTCCTTCCCTCCTCCTCTCTCCCCTCTTCTCCGTCCACCCCTCTCCTTTCTTCTCTCCTTCCATCTCCTCCCTCTCCCCTCACTCCCTCCTTCCCCTCCACCCAACTCCCTGTGATGCTCAGGCTTACTCCTGGCTCTGCACTCAGGGATCACTCCAGCTGGGGCTTAAGGGTTCCCGTGGGGTGTCCGGGCGTGCAACCCAGACAGCCATGTGCAAGGCCAGCACCCTGCCTGCTGTACTGTCTCTCTAGCCCTTGAACCTTCCTGTGTGTATGTGTGTGCATGTGCATGTGCATGCGTGTGTGTGTGTGTGTGTGTGTGTGTGTGTCTGTCTGTTCAGGCAGGCCTTGCTCCTCCTGTGGTGCTTGGGAAGTCGTCCGAGTTGTTGGGAACGCCCGCCAGGTGCCTTACCCGCTCTGCCGCCTTTCTGCCCGCCTCACCCCCTAATTGTAGTGTTCCTCTCTTTTTCAGGTCAAGTTTGTCTAGAAAATGGTTGTGGCCGAAAAGCCACTCGGAAGCGTGTCTACTTGAGTGACTCCGACACCAACTCCCTGGAGCCGGGCGAGCGTCTGAAGAGCAGGGCCGGGAGCAGCCGCAAGGTGCTGCGCAGGTGCGCGGCTGTGGCCGCCAACAAGATCAAGCTCATGAGCGACGTGGAGGAGAATTCCAGCTCCGAGAGCCCATGCTCCGGCCGCAGGGTACCGCCCCGCAACGCCTCTGCCGTCGCCCGCAAGAAGCTCCTGCACAACTCGGAGGATGACCAGAGCCTCAAGTCGGAAGGGGACGAGGAGGAGCGCCAAGGCGAGAAGCCCCTGTCGCCTGCGCCGCACACCGCGAACGGCCTGGACAGCGCGGATTCTGAATCGGACGGCGACGTGCAGGCGGCCCGGAAACCGTGGCACGCCAACGGGGCCCGGCCCCACCCACCCGCCGCCTCGAAGGCCAAGTTCCTGAAGATAGAGTCTTCCGAGGAAGACGACAGAAGTCACGACTCGGATCGTGGGCCTGACAGAACTGCGGGCCCGTCCACGTCTGGACAGACACACAAGTCGGAGAGTGTCTCGGAGGAAGAGGATGAAGCAGATTCTGACCTGGGGAAGGATGCGGAGCCGATGCACACTGCGAGCCGAAAGAACGCGGCTTTTCTTAAAAAAGCCAAGATTTTCAGCGACTCTGAGGACTCTGAATCTGAAAAACAGGACGAGGGAGGCAGCGAGCGGCCAGGCCAGGGTGGGAGCCCCGCCACGGGCCCCGAGACGAGTGAGCCCGCTGTGGGCGCCCAGCCCTGTGCCCAGCCGTCTGAGGCCGACTCGGAGTCTGATGGCAGCAAGGCCAGAGGCAGGGCCAGCACCTCGATGAAAGGTAATTCAGGATGCTGCTGCCTGCCCCTCTCCTGGGCGTGGCTCCCCCGTGGGTTGCCCTGTGCTCTCCGCCCATCCTGTCTATGGACGCGTGACTTGGTGTCGTGGGTGATGCCAGGGGGCATGGATAACTTTTGCGTGGGTGGTGGGATGTTGTGACGCCTGGGTCACCGTGAAGCAGTCAGTACGGGCTGAGGTGGCCGAGAGGCCCATGGTGCAGCTGACGCGGTTGCAGTCATGTGGACTTGGGGTTTCGTGCACAGGGCACTGCTCCTCTGCCGCTGCCGCCAAAGGCCAGTCTCCCTGCAAGCTCTGTGTTTGTGTCTCCTGCTGTGTTCTGGGGAGGGGTGAAGGGACTTACTCACCTGCTCACTGCTGCCCTGTGGCAGGTGGGGGTTGTTGAATACCCCTGAGTGGGGCCGACTAAAGCTGAGATCAGGAGCTGATTCGGGGCGGGGGTGGGGTCCACAGAGAACTTGGCTTTTGCACGTCAGGTCCAGATGTTTAGTCCCCGCACCCCCCAAACCCACACCCAACCAGCTCAAGTGGCCGGTGTGACCGGGACTCAGGAAGCCGGGGGACTGCCGGGTGGGAGGCTGTGGGCGGCTGCCATGGGGCAGTCTGCAGCCTGCTTTCTGGGTCGCAGCTAAGACATCCCTGCCCTGTCTACGTGCAGCGTGCTGTTCCCCTGTCAGTATGAGCCCTCTGCTTGGGTGGTTGGGACGTGGCTCTCAGCGGTACTGTTGACCTGGTCTCGCTTCTGTGAAAGACTAAAGGAATCCTTTCAATTTTTCAGATTCTCCTCTACAAGAGCTCAGTCAGCGGCGCAAAGTTTCCAGGAAAAGGGTCTGTTCCAGTGACTCCGACGGTAACTCAAAGGAGGTGAAAAAGTCATCCCGAGCCAGAGGTGGTCTCCTGAGGAGTCCCCGGAGATGTGCGGCGAACGCTGCCAGTAAGATCAAGCTCAGGAGCACCGTGCAGGTGAGCGCAGACAGTGTCTGTACGAGGAGCAAGACCGGAAGGAGGAAGCCGCTCCAGTTAGCCTCTGCCACAGCCGAGAAGGGAGCGAGTGACTCCGAGGGAGAGGGCTGCTGCGATGTGCCAAACGAGAAGCGTGCCAGCAGAGGGAGGCGGCCTGACACCGACAGCGCCCACAGCCCACCTCCGGCCGTGGATGCAGACTCAGACTCCGAAGGGGCGTGCAGTTCCCTGCCTGGGAACAGGCGCGCCAGTGGCCACAAGGCTACTGTTGCACCTTCTAAAACTAAGAGTTCCTTCGTTGGGTCTTCCGAGGAAGAGTCCAAAAGCCATATGCCGGAGGATGAGGTGAGCGGGGCTTCGGAGGCGGCCTTGGCCGAGAAAGCGCTGGCCGAGAACAACTTTGAAGAGGAGCTGAATTACGGACTGCGCAGGTGGAACGGCCGGAGACTCAGGACCTACGGGAAGGCTCCCTTCAGCAAGGCCGAGGGCAGGTCGGCATCCCCGGAGCCTGCCGGCATGGAGGTGAGGAGGAAGAGAGCGCACCCAGGCTCCGGAAACGCCCACCCCTCCGAAGCAGCGGAGAGTCCCCAGGGCGGGCCCGCGCCTCCGCCCCCGTCCGAGTCAGAGCTGGGATCTGGGACCGAGTCGGAGGCTGACTGCACTGTGGACACAAAAACCAAAAAGAGGAAAACGAAAGGAAAAGCTAGAGGAGTCCCGAAGGGCCGATCCCCTCCAGCGGCCGCGGTGCGAACTGGGCGGCCGCAGAGACAGAGCAAACGCCCCAGGTTCAGCGTGGACGACGACTGGGAGGATCTGGACTCGACAAAGTCCCAGAGAGTTCTGCGACGTTCCAAGATCAAGACGAGAAATCAGGGTAGAAGGACTGTGAGGTACCACGACGGCGATGACGAGAGGAGCCTGGAGAACGTGGTGGAGCTTGACGATTGCACCTTATGACCCGCGGGGACCGGTTCCTGGAGAGGGATGGACTGGGCCCACAGGAGAGCTGGCTGTCGGAATGATTTTTGTCCTACAATTCAGGGAATATATTTATATTTTTCTATGAAAAGTTATGAATGTGACTAAATCATGACTGTTATTTTTATTTGCACTTGCTTGCCTTGTAGCAGCATTCAGCACAGGTGCCAAAATCCGCTTCATTGTGGGGGCAGCCGCGACCTGACAGTATTTGGTGACCTCTCACGCCGGTCAGAACCATGGTCAGCACCAGGCGCCTGGGTGGCGGGGCTGGGCGGCCTTTCCTTGGTGATAGCAAGTGTCATGGCAGTTATCCTGGGAATTTGTCAAGAGGTGGTAGTTCCCTAACCCCCTGTCCTCTGCTAGTGTAACAATTCTATGTGACACATGTTTACAGATTCTTCATGGCTATTATGTGTATACTGACGTTACAATCATGGGAGGTGTAACCATGATCAGTAGGCGAGGTACCTAGCACTCCCCCCACCCCCGCCCCACCCCCGATTAGAAAGCATTATACCAGATTTGGTCTCATTTTCATTGAAATGGTTTCAGTTTTCTTTGCAAATGCTGTTCGTTCTCTCTCTCTCTCTCTCTCTCTCTCTCTCTCTCTCTCTCTGGAAAATATCATCACTTTTATTTTATAAACTTGAATTTATAAAGTGCTGGTAAATTATTTTTTAAAAATGTTTTTTGATTGTACATTTTAAACCTTTAAGGCCAGACCATAGCCTAGCATTTTCTTTGAATTGTGCACTAACAAAATGCTATTGTCTTTCCAAGATCTCCTGGTTTCCATGTAAGGGGTTTAACCAAAATCTTGGTCTTCCATAGTCTTACTCTGTGAAATAGAGGAGTTTGTGTGCCTTAGGTGTAGGAAAAGTGTGTTCTTGAATAGAGTGTACAGGGCTGAAGAGTATTTAAGTTCTATGTCGTTCCCCCCATTTTCCGTGGAGGTTGTGGAGTGGAGTTTGTCCATAGTGCAATCCCAGTCTCACCGAGGTGAGACATTGTTGGCCGTCATCCTCCACCTTCATGCTGTCGCTTTCTGCTGCTGCATGCAAGCCCAAGCACCCTCTGTTGGCCAGGGCAAAGGAGGAGATTTCTGTTAGTGACCTCTGACCTAAGTGGAAGGAATGGTCACGTCTTGCGGGAAAATCATTCTGGGATCCATTTAAAGTGAAACTTGCATCGCATCATCCCATAGCCTAGTCCCACTTACTTTCGAGCCAAATGTTTTGTACTTGATCCGAGCTACTCCGAACAGTGTAGGGGACCGTCCCTAGCATCCCTGTGCCTGAAGGTGGTCTTGCTCCGATGGTTTACATGTTTGCTCGGGAAAGGGGGATGTCCCGGTACTCCCGCACTGTTGTTTATCGGCCCCGACTGTTTGGTTTTGGATTGATGAACCTTTTCCCTGCATCTGCTTAAGACGGCAGCTAGGGGAGACATCAGCTCAGTGTTCTGCTCGTTGGGAAGTGCCCTTGGGATCTCTCCCGCTGGACATTGTCTGCTCTGGGGGAAGGGTCTTGCAGGGCATCTAGTGAGATGGGTGCGAGGCCAGCATCCCTGGTGGGGTCAGAGAGCCTGATCCTGTTCAGAGCATGCGCTTAGGCATGGCAGACAGATGGATGTAGGAGAATCGGCCTGAAAGAATTTAATGGGAATGCTCTTTCCTTGCCGAATTAAAAAATGGTGATGGATGTCATATCCATTAGATTATTTAAATTCTTAAGCTTTTTTTTTTGTTTTATATCTATTCTCAGGGTTATAACTCCATGTTTACCATCATCTGCAAAAAGGTACCAAAAATCCATAAATTAATTATGGGATACATTCATATGGGATACATAAATTATTTTGGTAAAGTGATACTAGGACCACTTAGGCTTCCTTAGCAGAACCAGTCTTTTGGGCTGAATTGCCTGGTCTTGTTTGATCTGGTCAACTAATTAGCAGTTTTTGATTTTGTCCAAATGGTTATATTTTTGTGAATAGAAGCAGTATTTTGGTTTTATTTGGAAATATAAAGCGTTAAGAGTTGGGCGGGTGACTTTGAAAGCATGATTGGCAATGGTAGTAATTTCTCAAGTTCTGAAGTACAACTAAGGGATAAGAGAATCATTTTTATGGGGTTTTTTGGGTCATGGTGCTATTACTAAGGTTATCTTTGAATATGTGACACACTCCTAAGTACCTGTAGGGAAAATTAATAAATTAATAGTTCCGAATGTTTACATTGAGCACTAGAACATGTTTGACTTTTCTTCTACTTCTGCGAAATGTGCAGGGATTAAAATGCACAGCTGTACTTTAATGTTGGGGATCAGTTTCTTGGGGGGAGGGGCGTGGTGATGAAAAATGACAAAGGGTCACACATGGAATGTGAACTGATCCAAAAGTGCTCTCGCTTTTAATTGCACTTGAAGTAATGTAATGGTGTGTATAAAGAACAGACGACTACTGTGATTGTGTATGTCCAGAGTCCTATGGTTTGACTCATCTATGGCTTAAAAAGGGGGATGAAGTATATGGATTTGATTGTTAAAGCCTTGGAAAGACTTAATATTTCAAACATTTACAAAGTAGGTGAGATTTATGGAACTTTTTTAAGATCCTAATTTAGAAATAACCTTTGACAATGTGTAGTCACTTGTGAATAAAAGAAAAAGTTTATCACATTTTCAGATAATTCATAGGTGGATCTGCTTCCTTTTTTTTTTTTTTATTTTAGGGGTAAATCTCCGATTAAATTCTTCCCTGTTTCGTATCCTTGGGAAAAGAAAGAGAAATTAGTTAGTTTCTAACACACAAGCTTCTATAAATAGTTGAGTTGTACCAAAAGGGGAATTGGTTTTTATAAGACAAAAACAGAGGGGAAAGAACTTGCGGAGGAGGTGCTTTGAAACCTAGGTGCTCCCCTGGACCCCTTCTGCAAGACAAAACCAGAGTTGCTCCCAAACCACCTGAGGGTACTGCTGCCCAGAATTGGGTTCGGAAGAATTGGGTAGGAGTTCTCACTGATAAATGCCAAGTCCATGCCAGCCCCTCCTCTCTTCGAGTGCCCTGCATCGCCCCTGTAGAATAACCAGAGCACAGAATATCTTAACATCACTGTATGGTATTAAGAACTAAATCGGAAGGATTCTAATCTCAGTTGTGTTAGTGCAAATGGAATCTGATTGTGCCACTTGGAAAAAAAAAATAAAGGTTGTATTGTCAGAATGTAAGAACACTATTAAAGGTGCAATACAGAATTTTCGGTTTCCCTTTTTATTTTTCTTGTGTTGAATTTTCAAGTGTTTTATGACCAGAGAAGGGTTTTCTGTTTTGTTTTGTTTTTTTCTTTTTCCTTGTCTTTTTAAAGCTAAACTTCAGCTAAACTCCATTCTTTTTGTGAATATTGTCAGTATTCGCCAGTGTCTCGCAGTTGTCACCAGATCCTGCAGGCTTTGTACACTGTCTGGAAGTTGTTAGTGACTCGCGGAGGGGGTGTGACAGCCATCACCTTCCCTGTGGAGTGGCCGTTGTCTGCGGCTGTTTTCTTTCGTGGCTGTCGGGAACAGTAAAGCAGAAAACCTAAGGAAACCTTAGTTTTGAGGTTTTCTCTTACCCTGGTTTGAGGGCTCAGTCCTTGGAGCAGAGTGGGCAAGCCTGCAGTCAGGTGCTAGTGCCTGCCTAGATTGTTGCCAGAGGGCCACGTGGAGACTCTCACAGCAGTTTGTCTTTAAGAACCTGGAAGTCCCCAAGCTGTGATTTTCCCCGTTACTCCTTGTAGGACAGTGTTGTGTGCAGGAAGGAAGTGGATGGGCTGCTGGTGCCCCCACAAGGACCCCTTTTCTAAATAGGGGACATCTAGGTTCTGAGGGGTTTGCAGCTTTCCTCTCCGGACAGTCCGGAAGTTAACTGCATGGACACTGTCCGTTTCAGGCCCGTTTTAATTACCAGCCTGGCAGCTGATGAGTTTTCAAATCATCTTCAGGTGAGTTTTCCTCGAGACCGTGCGTGAGGATTCAGACTGGCCCAGAGAAAGTGGCCCTCTGCCTACCAGCCGGCACGAGAGGGTCTCTGGCCCTCACCGCAGCGACCACTTTGGTGCCCGTGATTGTATCCAGGATGGGACTGGAGAAAGTTTCACTTTTGCCAGTGAGTGGCTCAGGGTGCAGGAACCACATTACTAATTCCTGAGAGTCCACATAGGCTGGGGGTTTGTTCCCCTTCGGCCCTACTGTAAAATGCGAAGCATTTCCCAAGAGCCGGCCCTAAGGCTTGGAGTTTGCCGGTTCTGCACAGGATCTCCACTGTCCTGAAAAGGACAGTGTCCGTGCAGTTAACTTCCGGACTGTCCAGAGAGGAAAGCTGCAAACTCTCAGAACCTAGATGTCCCCTATTTAGAAAAGGGGTCCTTGTGGGGGCACCGGCAGCCCATCCACTTCCTTCCTGCACACAACACTATCCTACAAGGAGTAACGGGGAAAACCACAGCTTGGGAACTTCCCGGTTCTTAAAGACAAACTGCTGTGAGAGTCTCCACATGGCCCTCTGGCAACAATCTAGGCAGGCACTAGCACCTGGCTGGAGTGAAAGCTCAATGGGGAGGGAAACTTGCCTGGCACATGTCCGACATGGGTTCAGTCCCCGGGCCCCAAATGGTCCCCTGAGCACAGCCAGGGGTGATCCCTGAGCATTGCTGGGTACAAATCCCCAAAACTTAAGGATTCTCCAGTTGAGCTTCCTAGGTGAGCTCAGTTTCTACCTTGGCAGCATCAGTGTTACCACTTGAAAGCTGTTCTTGGCTACTAAAGTCAGATGCTGCAGAGAGTGCAGGTGGGGCGCCTACCTTGCACACAGCTGACCTGGGTTCGACCCCCGGCATCCCGTATCACCCTCTGAGCACTGCTAGGAGTAAGCCTCAAACGTGGCTAGGAGAAGCACTGTTGGGTGTGGGCGTCCATAGTACCTTTAAGCTGAAGTGACAGGGTGCTTCTGATACTTGTTTTTAAAACAGGTCTCTGGCTGGTAACCGCAACTCTGCCATCCAGAGATTTCCCCGCACGTCCTGTCTTAATTGGCTCCCTCTGCAGACGGGGTTACGGGTGGTACTGGCAGCCCAGGACACCTGGACTCACCCAGGACTGCGGCTGTGTGAGCAGATTGAAAGTCCAGCATTTACCCCTTCAACCTTACCGTGCCTGCTTGTAGTTTGCGAGGCTCAGAGGAGACCATGTAGCAGATAAGTCTCAAGATCTCAAGAATTCCTCACGCCTTTCATCAGATTTGAAGAAATTCGCAGCAGCCACTGTAAATCTTGTGAGAGCCAAGACCTTAAGCCAGTGAACAGTTGTGTAGGCATAAGAGCAAACAGGAGAGGAGGTAGACGCGGCGAAGGGTTTGTGGCACCCAGCACCGAATGTATCCAAGGCCCCAGAGATAGCAGAGGAGGACCGAGGAGCAGAGGAAGCACAGAGCTGTGACCCGCCAGTGTGCTGGAGAAAGTCTAGGCATTGTCTCAAGAGGGGACATTAATTTTGGCATCTGGCAGCCTTCCGGAGACTTCAGGGAGGCAGGAGTGTTTTTGATAGATGCCGGTTTGGAGCGGATGTGGAAGTGGTTTTTTTTTTTTTGATGTGGAGTTTTTTATTGTCAGGAAAGGGTGGCTCAAGGCAAAATAGGCTCCATCAGAGGCAGCTCCATGGGAGGCAACTCCACAGGAGGCTAGCAGGTGGGCAGCTTTCCCTTCCCACAGGCTAGGCTTACTCAAGCAGCAGCAACTGGGAACCTCGGGGCTGAGGTAGGTCAGCGTATTTTTTTCAGTTTAGACCTCTTTCCGTTCATAAACTTCCCTTTATATGGAAGTAAAGTCTTCTCTAGCAATGGTGTGAGATTTACTTTGGATTTAGGAAAATAATTTTGAGTCAGGATGATCGTAATTGGAACAGAAACCACACACTAGAGAGAACTGCTTTCAGAACTTCCTGCCCTAGATGCGCTTCTGGGAGCCCTAATGCCTGCCCTGTGACATCACCTAGGCAGGCCGGCCGACCATGAGGGTCTTCCTGATAAGTTGCTTCAGACCTAAGAGGGGAATCCTTTCTAGGAAAGCACTAGTTTCCTCACCCGCTCTGCTCCAATACATGCCTGACCATTGGGGCAGTGGGCGCCTGGGTATCCTGACTGGGTAGTATTAAATGACACTGACAGATACGGGGTTAGCGTGGTAATCTCTGTCATTCTTGAGCTTGAACCCTGAATTATCTTGTATATATTTCTAAATAAAAAACTGTAGTTTTCTCAAAAAATAAAGCACTTTATAGCGTACCAAATTCCCAGTAATAAAATTAACCCTGTTTTCCATGTATGGAGAA